CTTGACCCGAAACAAAACGAAAAAGGACCCTACAGACAATGTAGGTGCTCATATAACTTTGTATTGCTAAAACAGCATAGATGCTGTCAATTTCATTTGAAGTATGCAGCCACCTTTACACCATAAAGACACCAACACATTCACAACTCAAAGCATGACAGGATCTCCTGACATGCCACAGCAGGTCTGTGGTCCACAAGCTGCAACTCCTCACCTTTGGGAAGGTCCTTGGCCAGAGCCTTCATGAAGAAAGCAGTGCGCTCTCGAGACGTGTAAGCGCTCAGGTGAGCGCCCATCGTCTCCACCTCCTGCTCAAGGGCCGACTGGGAGTGCTTCTTCGTGCCCTGGGGAGGGGCAATGAAACAGAGGACAGAGATGAAGGGGAGGGGCTCAAACAGCATGGGGAAGATTCTATGACTGAGAAACACCCGGCTTGGCGGGATGCAGAACTACAGGCACCTTAAAGGCCATGTGCTCCAGGAAGAAACCAGCACCATTGGTCGTCTCCGTCTCATAGCGGCTCCCACAGCTGATCCACAGACCCACCTGAGGGGAACAGGAGCACACCGGGAGGTGATCCTCTGGTGGGACTCAATACCACAAATGCAAAGATTGTACTTGTGTCCTTGGCAAGAGCGGTCTTGCTAACTTGCTGCCCAAGAACGAACTTGGAACGCAATGAACCATGGGATTGGTCTCGTTGGTGAGACATTTACAATGTGATAAATGAATGCAAAGCAGTATACAGTAATGAACTGTAGGGGATGAACAGATAGGACATCTTGGCTCAGTGGGACATTGAAGCCCAGCATACAGACATTTCAGTTAGCAAATCTCAAACAGCATGCATAAGTAGACCTCCGAGGGCCTCAAAACTAGGATAGAAGCCACAATTGCTCTGACATAAATAAAAAGCTCTGACAGTTAGTGCATACATTCATGCATATCCAAAAACAAACTCTGGAACCCAGTAGATGATGCTTAAAAGAAAAATTCATGTTCTAAGCTACTACTCCACTGCAGAAACAGACAGATTCTGTGGAGCGCTAAGCTGCAGACTCACGGTGCAGGTGGCGTGATCCGTCTCCTCGGAGGCGACGCGTAAGCCGTTCTCCAGAGTGGTGACCCGGGTCTCAGGAACTGCCAGGAGGCTCTGCGCATACGGCACACCCGCCTTGCCACGCCTGAGGGACAGCAGGGTGGGCTGCAGACAAAATACACAGACATGGCAACAACATTTTTCAAAAACTCCATTATCAGACGGATCAATATGTGTGTGCTTGTACACACACACACACACACTACCAGTCAGAAGTCTTTACACACCACAGGTTTTCACCACTATTCAATTTATTCCATAAACTGCAGGTTTTTTTTCCCCTGTTAAGCATTGGAATGTTGAGTGAACGACTATAAATCAAACTATAACTCAAATAAAACAAGTTTACTGTTTACATGTCTGACACCCTATTAACTGGTTTTGTAGTGATGGCATAGTCAAATTCTAGGCTTTAACAAATGCACCAGTTTCCCGTTTCATCCCATGAAACAGAGCAGTATTTAATGTCCCTTGTAGAAACAGTGCCTCAAATTTTCTCTGCTGTTGTAACTGCTAGAGGATGTTACTTTGATGAATCAAAGATATGACATTTTCTTGCTAATGAAGGCACTCAGATGGTGAACATACTGTAAATGTATTTGTTGCAAATGTAGAAAATCTCAGTGTGTACAAAACCTTTGTTGACTGGTAGTCATTATTATTAGCCATTATTACGGAAAGACCTGCATCCAAAGAACTAATGAGCTTCCATAAGACCTCTGATCAGAGGAATACTGGTTAGCTCATACGAAAGCACATCGACGGTGGGTCCGGCAGGGTCTTGCAGGACAGAGCCCAGGTAACTTCTGCAGAATCACTGAAAATGCAGCGATAAACAACAACAAAAAACACCTAAAAATGATGCGAAATGTTTGAACATTACTTACAACCTGAATTATATAACCCGAATTAAATCCATGAATTACTCGTATAACACCTGAATAATATCTGTTTTTTTACATCATCAGTAGCATTAGCCAAATCTATACAGCAATAACATATACTTTTAACATAAGCAGCTAAATATGCATAGATTAAATAAACTCCATTCAATACACAGATTCTGGTATTAATTCACTAGCATTAGGTTTATATTTGTGTTTGTTCTGTTAGTCAATTAGCTGAGTCTGGGCATAACTGGGCAAAGGGACAATAATGAAGCTGCATGTAGGTTAAACATGGCTCTAAACAAAACAAAACAAAACAAAACAAAACGTAATAACTCCTAAACTATACCACTATCACGTGTTACCCTGATGCAAACCCGAAGATCTTCAAACCTTTTATCTGAATCGGGACAAATGAGAGATACACACTGCATAGGGCTGTCGGATTCACCGTTTTCATTTAAAACCGAAATAACGCCAATTCTCACATTTTTTATCAACTAGAAGTGGGCGGTAGGCAACAGCTGCTTCCATCTTCTATCTATGAAGCTGCTCTACTCGACACACATGAAATGAACGTAACTGTCTCTCTTTGCAAGGTGTAGATTCAGTAACTCTGCTACGCGATGTAACTTCTAAAATTTCGAAATTTGCAAAATTACAGAATCATATGTTTTATAATTTTTGATGTTTCAATACGATACTGATATCAATATATTGAAAAACGTGACACACTATACAACAGCGTGCATGTTGTATTAAGCAGAGGCGCAGCGACAGGGCAGGTAAGGCAGATAATTGCCCTGGGTCCCCAGCTGGAACATAAACATAAACTTTAATAGAAGCTAGCCATCAAGTAATTCAGTTAGCTAGCTAGTTGGCTTGTTTTATAGCCTTATTTACTCATGTCATGCTGGCATGATTGCCAACATCATACCCATTTAGTTGACAAGGCACCTGACATGGTGAACAAGTTCATATCTATCTAGATCTACCTCATTAGGTACCTGGTTTAGTCAGTAAGTCATTGCAGTCACTGCTAATAGAGTTTGCTTTGATTAGCTATTTAGGTCACTTGAGCATAATATAGCCCAGATATACTATGGATTATTTTTTTTTTGAGCTAGCATATAGATTTTACTATATTCTTATAGCTAAGTACCATTTTTATTTTCTTTTTCACTCTACGTGCATCACATAAGCTCCTAGCAGCACCACAAACAGAAAACATAACAGAAGCTGCAGACAGTGACAACTGTAAATTCAAGGTATGTAATATGGTGTAATACTAATGTGATCTGCTTTTAAAAACATGCTCATATATAAAATGTAACATTAAACGTGTATTATACTGTATGAATATATTATTCATATTTATTTTGTAGCAGCTCCATCTCCTACAGCTTCCTGCTCTGTTGCAGAGGAAGAGGACATTTTTTCTGTTTTTCATACAAATCTTGTATTAATTGTGTATTTGTTTTATTTGTGTTTCCATAAAAGTGAAAATAAAGGACTTGCTTTTACTACATTATTTTTTATATATTGTTCATTAAGACAGCACACTAAAATTATGGTAATGAATGTTACCATGTGGAGAGAGGGTGAGTTGGAGGTGCCATGGAGTTTCACATACAGCCCCCAGAGCCCCCAGGATCCCCAAGTGACTTTTATAACGACATTCCATTACCACAGCTCACATGGGGCAAGACATTTTTTATATATATATAATTCCAATTATTCACATGAACTCTGGTGTACATCCCACCATAAATAACATCATAATACCACCACTACACATGACAGCTTTCATAAATGCTCATTTGAAGTAATTTCTTATAAGTTTCAACTTTTGACAAATTAGTTTGTAAAGTTTTGCGACCTGCTAACAGTAATATTAGAACTGTCAAATGCTTACAAATAGATACCACTAAAAACTGACAAATGATAAAAACCTGTTTATTACATTTTCAAAAAAAGGTAGCATGTTTTAAGACTAAAAAGGCAGCAAGGACTGTCTCACAATTAAATATGTTACTGTGGACAGAAAAGAAATTCAGCCTCCCGACATGTGGCTCAGTAGGTTCGGATGCGGCGACTGTGATCAGAAGGTCACAGGTTCAAACCCCAGAGTCAGCAGGGCGATTTCACCGTTGGGTTCCCGAGCACGGCGCTTAACCCCCGGTTGCTGTCTGGCCCTGCGTTCTCAGAGGGATGTGGCTTTGGATAAAAGCCACTGTAGAACTTAAATGGTATTAAATCAAGTTGTAGGCCCAACTGACGTAGGGAATTGTACAGAATAACAATATTCAACCGTCAAAATTAAAATTCTTGTCCAAGTAAATTTTATTTAGAGCCATCTTAAATGAAAAAAGCATGGAAATTAAGTTTAACGACATGTTCACTCTATTCGGAGCAACATAAAACCAATGTCAAACAAAGTGCACATTTTCTATACATTACAGTTCAACTGCATAATCAGATCTACGTTTACTATAATCAGAGATAATCGATCCTTTTTAGCTTTACGTTTAACTTGAACGGAAGTTACCCTTCACCTGCACCGTTTGTACTGTTAATAACCCAGCTAAGTGACCTTGTTTTTACATTGAGCTGACACCACATACATTGTGTCTTGCAAACGTAACTGATACTTTTCAACACATCGATATAAATTATAACGTGGCGGCTTTAACTTTCATAGAAACAACTACAGTTCAAATTAAATTCTAACTCTGACCTCCAATACAAGGGCCCAATTAGATAACAAGGGCATCAGTTTTGGCATTAGGGGAAACGCTATTTTTGGGATGCAGTTTCATGCCAGTAGTACGCAAAATGGGAGAAACACAACTCGTTTTAACGATTAAAAAATGAAAGTGAAATCTTACGCTGCGAGCCTTAACAAGAGCTCTCCCCACTGCGCTTCCGAACCGACACACGGACGCCGCCATCTTGCCGTCGCGTTCTCGCCTGGCCGAGAGCGCGCACGTCAGAGGCGACGCAGTTCGCGTGAAAGCGGCGCGTTCACGGTCTGTGGAATAACCGGCGATGTACTGTAGTTGTTGATAGCGTTAGGCGGTGCGTCTGATTATTTTAAAAGCAGGGCCGGTAGAAACCAGTAAGTAACCTTACTTAAGAAATATTAAAATATCAATATTAAATCTTCTTTCAAATTATATCTGTAGATAAAGGTGATGTATTTGCATCACCTATGCAAAAACAATAAACGAATTTACTTATTTAACAACGGAAATTAACTAAGGTGCCAATTCCTACTGACACCCTGTGCCCTAATAGCTAGTATTTCCCCCTTTGGCTGAAAAAACCTCAGTGAGACGTTTCCTATAACCATCTATCAATCTCTGACACCAACCGGCAGAACGTTTTCCCCACTCTCCAATGCAGAATTCCCCAACAAAACCGCTTATATCTCGCAAAGGGAATATCACAGAAAGAAATTTCAATGCAGATTTATTTCGAAGACTCTACAAAGACACCCAATTTGGTAAGTCCTAAAACCTCCCCTGGTAAACTCCGACAAATGGGATTTTAGTGTTAAATGGGTTAAAATTGTATATCTATCTAGACGCGTTTTTAAGGGTTTCAGATCCAAAAACTAAACTGAAGCTAAATTTATATAATACACGTTAGCGGTTCTCGTTAGCTTCTGCAATTTTATTAAGTGTTTTATCGGTTTAGCGCTATCGAATTAAACTTTGGAGTTAGCGGATTAGTGGTTATCCAAGCCAACTTTTCAGTTAGCTATGTCCGCTACTGGTGAAGGCATTGCATTGTCTCTGTCTTATATTATGACTGCTACAGTGTGGATTTTTTAATTACAGCAATCTTTTTTTTTCTAAATTTAATAAGCAATTAGGTTACCTTTTAAACATGATTGCACATTTAATAATCACAATGTCCCATGTTTAATCGTTCAAGGCGAGCTGAGTCAAAGGACCAGGGTGATTATTTTTTAATAGGTGTTTTTTTAGACTTACTGATTGTGCCAAGATACCCGATTCAGTCCACATGGCTGGGCATGACATATGAGGTGGTGGTAACTGAGCCAAACTCTGAGTATGAGAGAGACCTAAGGGCATTATGGGAACCAAGAGACGCAAGATGGACCAGAGGCCCGGCATCCACATCATCTGGGTCTGTTTTTTTTTTGCCAACAAATTTAGGAGAAGGGGCCATTGGACAAGAACAGCAAGAGGTGAACGCGGTACATCAGGAGGAAGCAGGTGGGGGCCAGCAGTCCATGGTGTGGTCGGAGACAGTGATGGTGAGTGCGAGTCAGGGGGTAATGAGAGAGTAAGATCCCCAGTGGGGGTATTCTGTGAGTTTTGCAGGCAAGGGCTCGATATTTGGAGGTGGTGGGAGAGGCCAACCTCATTGCTGACCTGCTTGGCAGCATCCTGACCCGTCAGAACAAGCACCTTTAACTCAAGCAGGGCGGCGGGGCTTGACCACTGCCCACCTGGGGACCAATGCCCACCTAGGGACCACTGCCCACCAAGACCTCTGACTCAATTCTGTGTAACAACACTGTGGAAAATATGTATCTTACATAATGCAATAAAAGAAATAATGCACATTTTCTTTTATCACATTACCTTTAATTCTGTTGATTTTGATATCCCATGGGATGATTATTGTCATGATCCAACTGCATTTTGTCCATGTTTGGCCAGCAGAGGTCGCTGGTCATCATGTAATCACATTGGTCCCAGCCCTCATGTCTTAACCACCCATAAGTGTCTCCAATCTGTCAGTCATGTTCAGTGTATATATGTGCCTGCCTACAGTGGCTTCCCCAGTCATTGTTGTTGTCACAGGTGTCTAGTGTGGTATCCAATAAAGCCCGTTTCAGTTCAGTCAAAAGTTGCATTTGGGTTGTCTCTCCCTTCACACGTGACAAACATCATGCAAAGATTTAAATTGAATTTAATTATTATACTGACTATACAGACTTCAAAGTCTTGATGGCATCGCGACATGTACAGCTGAGGTATACGATTAATCACAATTTTAATCGTGATTTAAAAATGAAAGCACACCATGCTACTCTAACAGCACCTTGGACACCTTTGCCTTTGTCCTGGGATACCCCCTAAGAGAGAGAATATGGTGCAGTACTGTCATCACCCCCAGAGGTCTAACTGACTGAGCCATATGGTGCCCCCCAGTGTTTCAGTGCCTAGTTTAGGTTATTATACTAGGTAGTTTTTAATTGGACTTGCGGCTGCCACCCTCTTTACACCTGGCTGTGATCTGTTTCAGAGGCAGCACCTGACGCAGCTGGGGGCTGGTGTGTGAGATTGGCACCTCATGGGCTGTGGTGTGAGCAGCACTCAACACATCCATCTGCGGGCTGACCCCTAGTGGTGGGATTGGGGTGTACAGGGTGGGGAGTCTGTGGGGAGCCCGCGGTGGGGCTGTGGGGGTGGGCAGCCACAGGCGGCCGGTGTGGGACATGCGGCTGCGGTAAGTGTGCCGCATTGTGTCCAGAGAGCGATACGCCCGGCCTAGCTGCCTTTGCGGGACGTCTGTGCTGGAGAAACTCACGCATCTTGGCTTTTTGAACTCTGTGCTGCGGCTGGAATGTCCTGTGATTTTGGGGGTGGCCCTGATAGGAGAGAAGTAGAGCCGCCGCCCAAGCACTGAACCTCCCCGGCCTCTCATGGGGCTCTGGGCAGGCACTGTCCCTTTCCATTCCCTGTGGTTCTCCTTGCCAGGGAAGGAGCATCTTGGCACCGCAATGGTGTTGCTGTAGGATGCAGTCCGGGGTGGCTCTGCCAGTTTCTCTGCGGTTTTCCCAGGTCTGCCGGCCGCTTCTCCACCTTTCACGGCCGTGTTTTGGCCTGGGTGCTTGGCACGAGGCTGGGGGATGGACGAGGGCTCATGGAGGACAGGGCTCCCCTGATGGGGTGCGCGAGATCTTTTTAGGGAAGCTCCCTCCACAAGCAAGCTCACCCCCACGTACTGCGGGACTTCAACAGCTGGCTGAGAAGGAAAGGCAGGGAGGTGTCAGTGGCTGAGACTCAAGCGTGCCGCCTTGCAATCGTGAGTATTTGCTGGCGCCCCACCTGCTTGTATATGAGCTCGAACCCGCCCGTGTCGGCGTTGCGATCGAGACGGCGGTCCAGCACCACCCGCAGCGTGTCCTCCTGCACAGCGGCACACAGACGGGCCGTCACAGCCGTGGAGGGAGCCATGGTTGGGCTGGCGTTAATCTCGATGAGCCAAGGCCTCAGGTCTCGCCCCAGCATGAAGTCGGCGCCATAAAGCTCAAAGCTGCCCTGCCGGGACTCCACCAGGTCCTGCGCCGTCTGCAGGGCATGCACCACTGCCTGGCGCATGCCCGGGGCCACAATGTCCTCCCACTGGGCCCCTCGGCCCTGTCGACCCAGGAAAGAGCGGAACTGCTGGCAGGACCACATGTTGTCCTCGGGCACCTCCGGGTGGCGATGCTGAGACGGTGGGAAGTGTTTCTGGATGGAGTTGTTACACAGGTGAACTGAGCTGTGATGGGACACAGAAAGAAGGACAGCAGAGGTTTGTCACTTAACATCAGCCCATGCTGCATTCGGCATCGTTTTTCTGTTACAATCTCCCTACATTTCCAAAGCTATCTGTCAGTTTAATTGCCTTAAAAAAGTCTGATTTTTAAAAAAAATAAGTATTCTGCACTCCAGGTCACTGATGTGACTGAATTCTTAAAGGAAATCTTCTCAGACCATCCATCCATCTGTTCTGTGTATGTGGTTCTCGCAACATTCTGAGGGTTTCTACCAGTTTTCACGTTTTATTGTCACGTGTGCTAAGGAACACGGCGGAATTCTTGTGTCAGGGAAGGGGACAGGTGCACGGGGGAACAAGAGTACAAAAAACAGTGAAAATAAAGGACAAAGCAGCAGTGCAGTAAAAAAAAACAATGCAGACAAAATACAGTGCATTATAGGAATTTTAGTCACTCCAAGGTGCCTGACAAGGGTGAGTGGCAATCCTTAAATGGCTGACAGCATGTGACTGCATGTGTGCGAGAGGGTGCCCTGTGATGGACTGGTATCCTGTCCTGGGGGGTAGCCCTGCCTCATGCCCGATGCTGCCCAACCACATGCTAGCTCCTTGCTCACCTGTCCAGTGTTTCTACGGAGTACGGCTGGGTGGAAAAGCGCAGGTAGCACTCATTGTAGAACCACACGGTCAGGGGATTCCAGTCCGTCACCAGGAACCACTGTCGCAGGTCAAACTTGGTGCCATGAATCAGAAGGGGGCGCTCCAGGTATTTCTGTACCACCCACTTGCTGTCCTTGATCAAAGCAGGATCACTGTCTACCAGCTTCAAGATATCGTCCAGATGTTTAAAACACAGGATGCCTGTGTGAGGGAAGGAGCCCCGCGGTCTGTTGTCATAATCTGCAGCCTCGCTGCCACTTCACTACATTGCATGATTTTATCACTTTCCTCTGATAGTGCAGAGATTATTAGGCAGCCACTCACTTGTGCGGAATCACTAGACAACCATACCTTAAAACTAAATATGGAACCTGTCCTAAAGTACGTGTCCAGCTTGAGTATCACGGAGACTCAGTCATGTCATTTTCAATAATTACACATTGTTGTATCTTTTTTCGAGTGCTGCTATTGTGCTCTCTGCTCCGATGCCTGTGCTCTTTGCCTTAGAAGACGCACCCCTGCCTCGTGACTTGGCCCCGGGCTTAACGATCCAGATGTTGTGGATTCCGTCTGTTTCCAGCTGGGGACAGACCTTCCGCAGCCTCTGCAGCATCGCCCGACAGCGGTCTGTGTACCGAGCGCTGTCATCCATCGTCACGCCGTTGCTGCGGAAATGAGGGACAGTGAGTCTGGGTGAAACATGATGGGACAGGATGGGCCAAAGGCATAAATCCTGGGGGATACAGGGGGGGTCAGGACCCCCTTTAATGGGGGACATTCCCCCCAATATATCATTTTAAACCTATGTAATTTTAAGTAATATACTTAATTCTATTTATGAATGAGTTACGTTCAGAACGGCCATTCGTAACTTGAAATGTTCGTAAGTCATTATTCAACATCATTTTAAGGGTATATGCAAGTACAAAGAACTAGGATGCTGGGAGTACGCACGCTACACTGCTGTGCGGCGGGAGTAGTAGCCAGAAGTCATACTAGGTGGAATTGGCGCGCAGAACAAAATTTGATGTTGCGGACAGGAAGCCCAACGAACGCAATTTGGATTTACAGACCTCTTTGTTTGTATGTCTGAAAGTTCATAAGTTGAAAGTTTGTAAGTAGAGGAGCATCTGTACATGTACTTGTGCAAATTATAAATGCAGAGCAATACATTTTTACATTTCAAAAGATTTCATCCCCCCTCTGCCTCACAGTGGTTTGGTCCATTGCCTGCTATCCCTAACCCACATACCTTAGTCCAGCACGAGTGTCCATGGCTCAGTGGTGGCCGGCCACGAGTAAATAGCTACTTTGCAAATGTTCACTTAAAACAGCGGCTGTGTCACACATGTTTCTTTACTTTCACCACGCAGTAGAATAACACTCTCATACTGTAAATAACCTGCATGCTATGTGTGTGTTTTGTCAGCCAGCCAAAATGACAAAAAGGAAAATGGATATATGATCATTTTTCTATGCAGCAAAACACCAAGTAAGTAAAAAAAAAGTGCCCAGTAATTCACTGAAGTATTTCTTCTGTTTTTAGAATTGTACTTATTTTGAGCTTTATGGTCTGATAAAGCTACTTAAGCAGATTTAGAGACCAGTCCAGTGTCACATATGCAATGAATTTATATTGTATATAAAATATTTGATCATGCTAACCTTAAGTTATTTACCAGTCAGTTATCTAGTATATATAATGGTAATTATGGCTTCCTCTAGTACAGCAGCATTTTTAGTGGCACCTTCTGATGCCCTCAGGAACTTTTTCCATCATCATTATCATATTCTGCTGTTGGGCTAGAATATAAGGTGACATGGGGAAGACAGGCAATGACGAGTACAATCACGGAATTTATATAATATTAAAATGAACAGCACACTCACTGTATAATGAGGTAATAGTTGTAAATAAACTCCGCCCACTGCTGTTCTGTGAGAGAAGGTGTTTCTCTGGCAATATCAATGTCACAGTGATCCAGGCTGTCCAGAAAGTCCTGGCACACGTTTAAGGCGGTGTCAATCATTCTAGGCCCAGCCATTGTCAAGGCTCTGTGCTTATTCGACTTCTTTTGACCTGAGGGTGAAGATGGAATGAGAGGTTATGTGATATCTTTTCTCAGTGAATTAACTTACGGTTAATGGAGTATACATTGTGTGTGCAATGCTCATAGGAGTTTTACTTACACAAAAATGTTCTGAGGGCAGAACAAAAAATGATTGGTTCAGAGAGATGACCAGTTAGCTTGTAAAAGATGTGTCCAAGCAACTACAGGAGGCAGGATTAACCAACCTGATGTATTGGTCCTGCCTCCTCTACAATCAGATTGGTTCTCTCTCTGAACCAATCATTTTTTTTTGTTCTGCCCTCAGAACACTTTTGTGCAAGCATGTATAATGCTGTATGTAGCGTGCAGCTATAAGTTGAGGGCTGTTTCCGTCATACACTGTGATTGGCTGGGATCAGGCACCACCCCCCCTCTCTGCTCCCCAGGGCCTCTCTCCACAACAGCCTGCAAAAGGCTGGTGCACGCTGTTCTGCGGAAGTCCTCTGCAGGGGAATATGCAACAATGTAATCATATGGGGGGGATGGTGACCTGAACAAAGGGCAGATGTTACACAGTTGGCTTTGAAGGTGAGGCATTCTGAAGGGGGACTAGAGAAAAGGCAGCTTTATACAAAAGTCTGACCGATAAAGGTCTGTTTCTCGTCCTCCGCCCCAAGCCTGTAGCAGCGTGGGAAGAAGGTGTCGGGGTCGGCCTTGTCAAACCAGTGAAGGCTCCTCAGGTTCACACATAAACCAACCTGTGGAGGGGGGGGCGGGGGGCACAGACGGTTCAGCCCATTACTGCCTCCATTGCCTCTTCACCGCAAAAAAACAAAACAAAGCCTCACTCAGAAGCTGGAATAACAGAGCGAGCTTTTTCTGCCGACCTTGGTAGTGAAGCTGCCCGCCTTTGCATAGTGATTGGTCATCTGCTCCTTCCGCAGCGAATGACAGTCGATCTCATCTCTCCTTGTCGTCCAGTAGAAATACGTGCTTTCATTACGAACCAGACGAGACTTGAAAGAGGTGAAAGAAGAGGACGATTAAAAGTAGGCAAAAAAAGATTAGACCAAAAATAACTCATTACATCACGTCTCTGCTTAATCAAGGTTACATTTCTGCTGTTGTTATTGGTGTTCCGCAGAGAATATATTCATTTACACTTAGAATTATCATTGGTATTTTTGTCACCAATATCTGCATTATTTCATAAAATAGAGTTTGCAATTAAATTCATTTGCGTAATTTGATTTTAGCCATGGCTCAATTTGAACGCAAAGAAACAAGGGGGTACTAAGAGCAGATTAAAGGTTTAAAACTTATAGTGAGTAACTTGGGGGTATTGCAGCTATAGGAGAGGCTTACCATGAGGTCAAATAGGTCATCAGAGTTGCCGGGTTTTTCCACCACCTCAGGGCTGTCTGGGGCCAAGCATGAGCGGGAGGTAGGTCATATTGTACAGACATTTGTTGAGCCAGCTAGGACACTATATAAAGCGCTTTTCCACTGCCAGCAAGAACCAAGCCGTACCTGACCTGTAGCATGACCTGCTGCTTTTCCTCTGCAAAGTATGCAAACTGTACCTGTGCTGACCTGGCCTGCTTGCTAGCCGAAAGCATGACCAAACCGAGGTGTTTGGCCGGAAAGCACAGAGATTCCGGTGTTCTGTGCATGGATTGTCTGAAGGAAAAGGCGTATATTCTACGTATTATTCATTTTTAGTAGTGCCGCACATCGCCATGCAAAACTCAGAATCTGACAATTTCCAACTTAACTTTAAAAAGTACTATAGAATGGATGAACAATGGATTTGAAATGCAAATTTACACAAGCGAATGCTAATTCTGCTAGCGTTTGATGCTTGCATAACACAGCGACTTTCACAGATGTGCTAGGAAATGACCACATAGTAAATCATGATGTACGCCGTGTGACTCTTTGGTTTTACATCACTCTCGCTCTCCAAACCCAGCAACACCTTTACCAAGCCGACCCTTCTGCAGTAGAAACTCGAAGCGAGCAGGAACTGTGCTGTAATCAGTCTTTCTTTGAGGTACCGGCTTGGGTACGGCCTGGTTCCTGTATGGCAGTGGAAAAGTGCCATTTATTTTGCACATGTGTATCAGTTTACAAGAGAATGAACTGTAAATGTATTTTTATAATCCTTACCATCACCGTCGCTGTCATCCCTATAGTCCTCATCTTCTTCATCCCTGTGGCGGCATCTCGCCAGGGGGTTTGGGTGCGGTATGTGGCGTTCCACCCAGCCCCGTGCCCGCAGGTTGGCACGCACCACAGGGTACGGCCCTTGCACGGAGAACACCTTCCGCAGCTGAGAGAAAGGGGAGACGGAGGTCATCTCCTCTGGGAAACAGGTAAACTAGGCTTTGTGGCGATGCTGAGGTCCACACCTTCACAGCCTTGTCCACGAGGGCTTTGGCTGTCCGCAGTCGCTCTGGGTTGATGATGGGCAGGGTTGGCAAATTACGCTTCACCCTTCCGTCAGCAGGTGGTGCTGTATCACGTGCAGATAAACATACAGGCACTCAAAAAAGAATTTATACATCCATCATCTATAACTGCTTGTACTATCCATGCTCACAAGGAACAGGTACAAGGCAGGGAACAACCTAGGAGGGGACACCAACCCAGTTAGGGTATATGCACACACCATTCACTGACACATATTTGGTAACTCCAATTAATCTCAGCATGTTTTGGACTGTAGGAGAGAAACCCCACGATGACACAGGACGAACATGCACACATGGAACCGCAATAGAGACTCAATCCCTGGTCCCAAAGGTGTGAGTGCTAACCACTGTGACACACACACACACACACACACACACACACAAATTGCATTCAGTACAATGTAAGAGAATCAATAGTTAAACTTGAAATGTGACACATATAGAAGCCAGAAATAACAACAAAAGATCCACAGAAGTCGTTATCCTTGACAGGAAGTGATCCTTCCATTTTTTATTCCACTATATCATGTGAATGGGTGATTTGAGAATATATCTTTTATATGCAGCATGGACAGAAAATAGGACCTAGGTTTTACTGCTAATTTGAACTTGTACTAGAGGTTTATGGAGAGTAAAACTTAATTTAATGAAAATGATTGGTGTTTCTCTGATCCTAGTAATAGCCGCAAAATGTATTCTTAATTGTTTTCTTTTAATGGATGTGTTAACGTTAACAATGTGCAATATTTACACCAAACTGCTGATAATGTGACCCACAGGCTTGGAAAGACAACATCAAAATGCTCAATATATTAACTATGAATAATATAACACTTTAGTTATCTGGCGTAGATTGCTAATACAGCAAATGTGGAATTACTTCATTTCGTGGAATTCCCCTATGAAACAGGAAGCTATTTCCAAGCCTTACCGCAGACATTGCCAGGTAGGCTGACCCCCACCCTGCAGACAGGGGCCTCCATGTTCTACCAGCTGTCAGTGTCACAGGGTCACTGCTCTCATCCCTGGCCTACACCTTTCACTACAGCCTTGGATGTGTCCTTCAAATCCAGTTGTCCCCTGGCACTTGCTCCTATGTGTCTGTCTGCCAGCCTTTAAGGAGCTGGTCTGTCACTGTGCAGTGGTGTGTAGAGGGTATCTCTGACACCTGTAGAGGACAGGGTAAAGGACATGGTTAAACATTTACAAAGACACTGTATACCACGTATAACCATACAAAATTATTTGAGGGACACCTCCTCCATTGTATTCTCTGGTTTTAGTTTGCTGTTGGGTAACCTTGTCCACACTTGTCATTATCTGTAGTCACATTGTATCCCAAAGACACGTTGCCTTATACTCAGACACAATAGCACTGCGCAATGTAAACCGACCAGTATACCCACAAATCTGCGCGCTATCATGGAAACAACAGTCATTCTAGAGACACGGGTGTCACATACCGTTACTTGCAAAGATTACGCAGCTACACGTTCCTGGTACATTCAAGGCGACTTCCACATTACAGACCCAGACTGATGCGGCGACCATCGTAGCATCAGGGCTACGCAGAGTCATAGCAAAGACAAAATAAACCACTAACTTCATTTAAATGATTTTATTCGTACAGAATCGAATCTATAAACACGCTGCAGAAAAACCTTATATAAGCCAGATATTAAAAGAGGTACTCTGCACCAAGAGATAATGCGAGGTGTGAATTTACCATAGGCTGCTGATGGCTGAGGAACCCGGGATCGTACTATTAGTGACACTATAGAAACAAGCAAATAGACATTTTATCCGTGATGATCAAAAAACGAGGGTCTTACCATCGATTTTTAACAGCTTAACAATGATCTCGTCTTGTCATTTAAATCCACCGTACATTATCATTACACTGGAGCGAGCTGTCGCCCGACGCCGATCCCCGGCTCCCTTCCGCCCTCCGCGCTCCTGCGCAGCCTCCAGCGTGCCACATTGTTTACGCCAGTTTCCATAGCAACTCCGAACCGCCTTCAAGTGGTTTCCATTAAAAGTCAATTAACCCAGGCTGCAAATAAGTTAATTAACGTATATCCTGTAAATAATATGTACGTGTAAATGTTCGCATACATTCCAAACTTACTGGGTGCAATTTATTTTCAATACGAATTGAGCATGCATCTATTAATTTCAGATATGTATTATTCATAGGCCTACAGATGTTGTAGATAAATTTTTGCAGCTATTAGTAGTTTAAGAAGTGTTTTTTTATTTATTTTTCATTTTCAGGAATCTGATTTGTTCTTCAGGTCAATAAAATCACTAAACAGTCTGATTACCGGTGAAATCCAGCGGCTCACGTTGAATAATATAAGTAATTACATGTCTGACAAAACAATTAAATCTCTGTTGTGCATATATTTATCTTAATCAGGTCGCGTTTTCTTTCGGTATCTGACAGTTCCTACTGCTCCATTAGCGCAATCCACGTCTTTGCGTTATTAGTTGGTGTGTTTTTGAAGGAAACAAAAAAAACTTTAAATATCGTTTAATATTTTTTTCTGAAATTTGATTGCTCGCCAGGTAAGCACATATTGGCTTCGTGTTCGAACGACAATGTTCCCTGCGACTCCATGACAATGTGTTGTCAATAGTTCGCTAGATGGCGCACAAGATTCAAGAATTTTATTTGTCACACGCATGAACGTATTGGTTCACTGGCAGCGAAATGAAACTTCCGATACTCCAGACTGTGCAATAACAACAAGGTAGAACTGTAACAAAAGTACTGGACGTATAAAAATGCATACAAAATTAAGATTATTAAGCTATAAGTTATTTTAATTGGTAGTTTTAATTATCCTAAAGGCCTGGGAGTTGAGGTTTTGTAATCTAAATCGGCAGCAGAAAACTTATATTGCCCTGAAAGAAAATTGCTTGCGAGACTGCACCTGACAAAACCACACAACAAGACAAAATACACAGTACACAGTACCACATGCAGCAATTCTCTGTAATATATATATTTTAATAAATTTTGTTTCATTATAGTTTTTTCTTTGTGTTCCTATACCTGCTATCTTAGATGTGTGGTGATGTATTATGTATGTGTTGACTTTCATATTATTCAAACAAAGCAACAGTTGCCGGTAACATTTCATCCCATAATAGGTTCTACAGGGTGTAGGCCTATAAGGAGTACGGCACATACAAATCCACATCAGGAGACGGCAATGGGCACCTGGTGTCATGTTTCAATCAATGTATTAAGAAAATGCATTAAGGTTTCATTCATGGGTTTTTCTACAAAAATATATTGTTTCAATATCAGGGCCACCACTAGAGATTTTGGGCCCCACGAAGGCATATCATATTGGGTCCCACGAAGGCATATCATATTGGGTCCCATGAAGGAATATCATATTGGGTCCCATGAAGGCATATCATATTGGGTCCCATGAAGGAATATCATATTGGGCCCCATGAAGGCATATCATATTGGGCCCCACGAAGGCATATCATATTGGGTCCCATGAAGGAATATCATATTGGGCCCCATGAAGGCATATCATATTGGGCCCCATGAAGGCATATCATATTGGGCCCCATGAAGGAATATCATATTGGTCATCCTAACTCCTCTCATGGCGCCCCTGTTCAGCAGTTAGGACATACAACCTGCTGTTCACTAATCCTTCCACCTTTGGAGGTGGGAAAGAGCAGAAAAAGGTCCGTTCCACGGTTTTATTAGCTTGTATGGAGTAACTGGGGGATCGCATGCGTTTGTTTATTGTTTAGCACTTGAGCTCCATGGTGACTTTGTTTTATTGATACACGGTTTTACTGACTGTTGATACTGGCGAGTTCTGATACAGATGCGAAAAGCGAGAAATTCCCTTTGCACTCTCGCACTGAAGAAATCCCGGTTTTATGAAGGGGGCCGTGCCCCGTTTCCCTTACCACCAGTTTGAAGGAGAGTTTATAGTGTGACACATTCCTTGTATCTGGGCAGGAAAGGCAGCCAGGACACACTCCCTGCTCAAAGGGTCTGATGTGCAAATAAGCCGACGGCGTCAGGATCGTGCATGTGTGACTTCCAGAGGTGTTTGTTCCTTCAGTTCTCACGCTCTCACTAAAGGGGCATTAACATGAAAACGGAGACAAGCGCTTACCTGAAATGATTTTGGGAAATTCAGCTTTTCTTCATTTTATGCTATTTGTATACCACAGGACCTTCAATATTCAAGATCTTTTTATCTGTACCAAAAAGATATATAAAATATATATTAAAAAGTAAAGATAAACTACAACATTTATGTAATATTTAAATATTTTCTTTATACACACACACACACACACACACACACACATCATGGAGAATATGTACCAGATCTTACCTTCAGAATTCATCCAAAAGTCAACAATATCTATAACTTTATATTATATAGGATTTATTATCTGTGTGTGCAGCATAGTGTATATCTTCACAAATGACAATAATTTCTATGTGTCATTATGAACACACTTTTCAAATCTACCAGACAAATTTTGCTTAGGGAAACCCACAGCTGTGCAAATAAAGGTCACTCACCGTCTCCCCCTTTTGGAGGAAAATAGTTCTTGCCAGAATTACAGTCAGACAGGTGTGGGTATGTTTTATTAACCCCAGGAAGCCCAGTTTTCCTTCTTCACAGTCGTGTTGTTCTGTAAAGGCAGTAATAAATGCACAGCGGCACAAAGGCCACTGGCAGCTGGAGACCTGACAGCGCTTTCCTCCCACACGCCCCCATGATGCTCTCACACAGCCTGTGGGGGGGGGGTGAAGGCAAGGCAGTACAACCAACAACCAGTAGGAGAACATGAGGACATGATTATAAAGTATGACAGGGTAGAAAAATCCGGAAGATCCGATCCATGAGACTCCAATGAGCAGGGGGTGCTGAGCGGCTCCGTTCCGCAGGCTGAGCCTCTGTGCCCAGGATCGCCTGTTCAAACCCTGACCTCAGCAGAACAGCCACATGTCTGTGGGCCCTTACCACCCAGCTCCTGGGGCACCACACACTGCCTGATCCTGCACTGCTACTCCCAAGCTATGGAGGGTAAGATGGGGTAGGCGAAGAGGCAAGTCCCAATTTATTGTACGAATGGCCAACAGAGAATTTGCATGCCCAGTGGTTGGGATAAGGTTATTTTGATTGAAGGTAGTATGATTTTATTTCCAATGTCTTTGATTTTGGCTCATAGGTAGGAAGCATATGCTTCCAAAAGACTAAACAATCATTCAGGGGGTCTATTGAAGTCAAGCAGCAATGTTTTCATCTGGTTAATTTCCTGTGAATGCTGTTGCTTGTTACTGCTGTACTGCTCAGGTTTGAACACTAACATGAGCTGCTGTAATAGAGGCCCGCAGCTTTTACGTTTTCTCCACATACTGACATTTTGTTTTACGGCAGACTGATGATTCCAAAATGGTTTTTGGATTTTAAATGCCCGCCAGAGTAATGTGTGTTTATGTCATTCTTCTGTAGGTTTTTACAAAATAGCACTGCTCATTACATTAAGCAGGATGGGTAAGGCTGAGCTGACCAGTTTTCTTTGAATAATTTGGTTCCCAATTATGTACATATATGATTATAATTATTATAAATATTCATTGTTGATTGGGTTCATTTTGTGGTTTGCATATTTTTACACATGCAGTTATATGAATTTGAAGCAACAGTAAAATTTAGAATATTACAAATAAAATCTCTGCATACATACAAATTCTTTTATATACATTTCAATTAAACATCTATCCATCCATTTTCGATACCCGCTTAACCTATGCAGGGTAGCGGGGGTCTGGAACCTTTCCCTGAAGCTACGGGCACAAGGCAGGGAATAACCTAGGATGGGGTGCCAACCCATCACACTTCAACTAAACAGAGATTTCTTTAAATGTTACATTGTGAACACTACAACAACGTGCAGTAATAAACATCTATTCAAATGATATAGGCATGAATGATATATAGGCACTAATTTCAACCTCAGAACATTGGAAACCAAGCAACTGAAAGACAATCAAAGATGCTGTCAAGAGAGTCATCTCAGTAGATTTTACATGCATCTCATCGATTACCCAAATGTAAATGTCATATCAAGAACGTCTGAATAAGGCATAGCCCTTTGAGGGAATCTGCACCAGTAAGATCAGTACAGCAGCTGTGTGCCTGAGGGGGTCAGGTCTGATTTTGTTCCAGATGCTGGTTATTGTCCATTGACAATAAGGCCCATGTCTTCCATAGTTTTTTGTAAATCTCTCTCTTTCTTCCCCCAACATGCTCCATCAAGAGCTGGGCCTGCCCTGCAGCAAGAGATGATTTAGGATATGCAGGAGAATGAGGTAAAACAAGAGATGCAGCAATGGAGTTCTTCTGTTGTTTGTGCGAGTGTAAGGAACCTTTCATCTGGGGCCTCCTCCTCAGGGACAGGACACCATTGTCTCTGCAACAGCAAACTCTTAGCTGCATTATGATGTCATCGTTTGTGTTTCCAAGAACAGCACGTCTGTTGGGATAAATTGAGATGCTCAGACTCTGGGGGAGAAAAACATACACACAAAGAAACACACACACACACAGGCAGGCAGGCAGGCAGACAGACACACCTGTGAACATTTTTTGGCCCCTCCAAATATTCTCTCCCATGCCCCCACTCTATTGACTCTGAGTAATGTCAATTTGCATGTTATTTGCATGGCAGTTGAGCCTGTTGTTAGGCTACCTGCAGATTTGCAAACTCATGCAAATCTTCTATGCTCGTATGGAGGGTTTCTCCTTTTCATCCCAAGGAATTATGGCTTTTAGCGACTTCATTACCAAGGAGTATAGGATGACAATAAAGGGAATGCAATAGACAAGAAGGCAGCCTGGGTACATGTGAGATTGTATGCAGAAGGTAAAGATTGGCTGTTTTTGCACTCTCAGTATAAGGGTAAAAACTTGTACCTTTGCTTGTCACTGGGACTGTACCCTCACGGGTCTGCCAATTGTTCCCTTAGCTGTAGGTAATTGTACCTTTTAAGGTACAGAAATGGACTCTGAGGAACATTTCTGTACCAGTTATGGTACATTAATGCGGTTTGTAGGTCTGGGATGTTCCTCAGCATCCATTTCTGTACCTTAAAAGGTACAATTAGAAGGGTACAGTCCCAGTGACAAACAAAGGTACACATTTTTACCCTTTTTTCTGAGAGTGATAGTAATATTGTGTTGTGTATACTAGTACTAGGGGCATTATCTAAGGAGGCCTTACGACAGCAAAGTGACAGAAGGTTCTGTGTGGAAGATGCAGGCGAGTATAAGAAAAGCAGATTGGTGGCTTCCACTGTGGCACATCGCCCGCCACAGAGCCCCCCCACCCGCCACAGAGCCCCCAGCTCCCCAGGCAGACAAGGTGAGCAGGAGACAATAAAAACAGTTGCTGTGGCAACAGAAACAACGGACAGACAAACATTCCTAGATTTTCAGCTAACATTGGATGTTATAAATCAGTATTTTCAGGCCTAACCCTGTCATTATCATGATCTAAATTTTGAAAGTATTAATTATCCTTGCAGAATGAAAGCAGAGGAAGTTCAAGAGCAGCACTGTGTTAATTTGTTCTCCAGCCTGCAAATTTGTGTGCGCCTATTAACTGGACACCGTTTCCAGTACGCAGCAGATTTACTGCAGCAAAAATAGTAACATTACAGTGGATATTCTCCTTCCTTCTGTCTTAAAGTTAATTAGAAAGGTCAAAATGATTTGGAGAACATTTGTATTATTTGGATTGGGGGGTATCTAGCAAACAACCATGTCTTGCTCTGCATACGCAACCCAACCTAGAGTCAAACACAAGGCAAAGCAAAGAGGAAACCAGCCTGGTACCTGAGGAGTGACTCTCTCTATCCACTTCAGCCTGGGGGGGTGCAGCATTCAGCTCTGCTCGGCTCACTGAGCTGTGCAGAGCAATGGGAAGTCAATCAGCTTTTATTCACTGCAACAATGAAACTGTCAGAGAGTACTTAGTAATGAACATCACTCTCAGAATTATTTAAGCACTGCTCGATAAACGTTACTAAGTGTTAGTGTGTATGTGATGGAGTAACTCCTTCAATAAACACCATTTAAATGTGTTAATCCTCAGCGTCTGTGGCTAAGCTATGTAACAAATTTAAGAAGTAATAGTTTTGAGAGCAGAAAACATTCAAAGATGCTCTCAAACCAAAGATCTCCTGGAAATTGACAGAGACCCATAATATGGGAGAAGATGCATACCAGAATAATCACTGGGAATACCTCGATGGATCTAGACAAAAGCCAAGCGAGATTCTGAGGAACTACAAGGTCTGATGGGGATCTAAGCTCTTGAGGCCCTTGGACAAACAGCAGGTGAATGTCACAGGTCCGTCACCTCCTCTGGGTATTATTGTGTTTAATAAGGAAAACATTAAGCATTGTGATATTAGGTGAGTAAGAAAAGACTTATCAGAAGAAATATTGCTACCATTTCTCCTAGTGATGCATTCCGAGGTCAAACATATGATTGGCTGATTAGACATTTGCTTCAATGAACAGTTGAACAGATGTACCTAATAAAGTAGCAAGTAAATGTGTGTGTATATATGAGAGAGAGAGAGAGAGAGAGAGAGAGAGCAGCTAATCAGGGGGAGTGGCAGGCAGGACTCTGGAGATGGGGGGGTCTTGAGGGGTGGGCCAGGCAGGAGGGTAAAGGTCACGCCCAGCAGCTGTTGGCCTGCCTTTGGTTTTGGCACCTTTCTCACACAGGAGGCCCCTTCTGTCCCCTTCCCTCCATGTGGGAGGGCTCTGTGAAGCCCCCGGGAGAAGCCAGGCCAGTTGCCTTCAGCTGGCGACAGTAATTGGCCGCCATCTGAGTGTTGCTGAGGCGTCGTGCTGCCGTCCTGCCGTCCTGCCCTGGCCAGCGGTGCTCCATCCGGCTCTTCGCGCCGCTCTGCCGGCACAGCCATGCATCTCCCCGCTGGATCTCACCACAAGAATAAATCTTGTGAAACACATGAATAAACAGGAAGCAAAATCATACCGCAGTGATGATACGTGGCGGCTCACTTCTCAAGTCACGTCACATATCAGACCCTAATATTTAGCAACATTTTTAGTTCTGAATCTTACTGACGCACGGAGTAGGCAGGATTTCTATTAACGGTATCCATTATATCATTGACTGCAGTAATGACCATCCGCCTACAATTACTGCTTGTTATGAGAAATCTTCGGTGACGCTTAAGGCCTCGCTAACACTAGGAAGCAGAATTACTTGTCTCCTGCAGAGGCCATGATGAAGTAGAGATCCTCATCGCACAACCACACAGAGTAGGTTCCAAGGAGAGAGTAGAACGTAGGTTTCCTCATTCTATCTGTGGGTGAAGATGAAGGATCAGCCCTGTGGTGGCTTTGTATGGGCTTTATGTGGAGGATAATGAACCCAGGACAGAAGTAGCCTCCTTCCTGTAGCACACCGAGGTCGGGCTGGGAGCTCCTCTGGCATTGTACTTGGGCAAGAAAATAATGAATAAAATTATCCTTATTTACTTAAATTAGGCTTTATCAGAAATTTGCATTTATTGAGCTTACTTTGACTATATCAGAAATTTGCATTTATTGAGCTTATTTTGTATCGGTTGTCAAATTTGGCATGTGTGAGTAAAGCTGCTGTGAGTAGTTTGTAATTTGTTAGTGTGCAAATAATTTGCGAATGGCAGTGCAGTCTGTAAGAGCACCATATGTGTTACTAATCTGCGTGGAAGAATATTATGTTTGAGGGTGTCGTGTGTGTAAGTACTGTGTGTATGAGATACCTGCCACCAGAAGCAGTCACCAGGAGATATTGGTTGAGCAATTTTGGCAGGTTCTTTGGGGGGAGGGGAGGCATTCAGAGAGGGGCTGGCAGAACAAGGGGACAGGGTGGGTCTCTGGGTGTACTTTGGTCTAGGACAGATTTAAAAAATCCCATAAAGAGAACTTAAACAAAAAACCCCTGCCTGCAGTCTCAACTCAGACACTTGTGTTATTTAAATACACAGTGAGTTTCCCCATATCAACAAAGATCCTCAGAGCCTCAGTAGGGCGGGGCCATTATGGACTGGCTGAACGCCAGCTTAACCAGTAAGACCCAAGGGAGGATGAGATGTGCACCAGTGCACAAACCTTCATCACTCATGCCCAACAGAACATCCATAGGTGTGCAATTATATTTGCTCAACGTTCCCAAACCATAAAACCGTCTGGTATCACCCCACCACAGAATGTGTTAAATACTGAACGACGGGCTCACTTACTTTCAGATGTACTTAGCTGTGCGTTACCGAAGGCTTCTGGGAGCCGCCTGGGAGCAACAGTGCTTGAGAGTGTCATTGTTTTAATTATACCAGGTCACAGTCCAATTCTGTTACATTCAGGTCAGTGCACACAAGCTTCTAGACAGCTGAAGACTTTGGAGGAACCACCACGACATTAACTGCATTTATTAGAGTGTGCACACACAACTGGCCAGCGCTCTGAAAGGCCACAAACTGCTTTTACATATAAGAAGCAAATTAGGGCAGCTGAGACTGTAGGCCTGCCTCTCCCATAATTGTTCCCACCCCCTGCCCCCCCTGTCGGGCTCTCTTTCAATAGGCATTTTACCCCCTCAAGGAGAGACCAAGGCACCACGGAAATCCCCTTAATTTGCGACGCCATAAGTTCCAGCGACAGCAGCCAGGTTCACATCACATCCAGCTCCCTATTTCCCGTGGTGCAGTTTTGGCTATGAGACACTTGACCTAATATATTAAAGTCTCCAAACACGCTTTCACTTTCCTTTGTTGTTTGGTATGGAGGCAAAACAGTAAAACAGGCCCGGAATTAACACTGTGATCTCAAAGAAATCGCAAATAAAGCTATCATGAATAAGTGAATGACCCCATAAATCTGCTTCTCGCAGGGTTTCGTCGTCTCAGTTGCTGCACGTGCACCTTTGTTGCTGATTTGCTTTCTGGTATGTTTTTATTTAAAAATGAACGGTTGGTTGCAAACTGAACAACGCCATGGCTGACTGGAGACTGACAGCCACTAAACGAATGCAGACTATCGTTTCACAACATGTTTTTTCACACAATAATGCACAGAATATATGTAAGATAAAGATACAAAAAGTAGAAGCTATAACAAAAAGCATTTTCTCTAGCTGACATTTCCGATGAAATCCCCCTCCGTCGATGTTGTGTAAGAAGTACGAAGGTCTGTGGGAGCCTGTAGAAACCTCAGTCGCTAGTATCCATCTGTTCATCTTCTGGAATTAGATGAAGAGAGTTTGAGCAACATCAGGAGACAGTCCAGCTGCCACCCGTGAGAGGACACAAGATGAACAACCGTCCTTTCACAGCACACCTAGGCCTGCCTGTGCAAGCAGCAGCCGCCGCTGTAATTAAGCTGTAAAATCCATTAGTGTAATGCGATACAAAAGTGGGATATGGATAAAGATTAGATAGGATGATACCTTTATGATGACAATCACTAAGCTCTTCAGGACAGCAATAGGTAGCACAGTGGTTAAGGACACTTTTCCTGATGAATTGAATGGAATGGAGATTCGTTATTGACCTCTGGGGGGAGATTCCCTTCACTGCTTGGCCCCCACCTTGCTCTCCATAAAGCGTGGGGGTTATGGAGATGGGGAAACCTCCTTGCGGTGCCCAGAGAGCTGGGGGTTAAGGGCCTTGCTCAAGGGCCCACAGACATGGAGTTATTCTGCTGGCAGTGGGGCTCAAACCAGCAACCTTTGGAGCATGAGCACAGAGAGTTGGCCCACTGAGCCACACAGTGCCCCCCCCATTTCTGGGTACTTACCTCAAACACTTACCTTGGAATTCCCAATTAAAATAATTAGTTGCATCACAGTGTAAAAACGCTTAGCTGAAGTGAAAGGGTGAGAAAGCAAAACAATAAAAATAATTGTGACTGCGTCTATTACCCATGGTGATACTGTGGTTTATTCCGGCTGCAGAACAGAAAAGAGGCACAATCTGCCTAATGCTAAACAGGGGGAATCTGGGGACAGCTGATATGAATAAAATGTAGGGAGGATCATATTAAGCAAGCCCCATGGTCACTCTGACATGAATTCTGCACGTGTGTCTTTGAGAAACCCTGTACTCCCTAGGTGCTGAGGGCCATGCAGAAAAGCAGGACTGGAATCACTGATAAAATGCACCCGGCATCCAAAGATAGCATGTAACCAGACACACCCACCTGAGCGCCCCCACGAATAGGCACTCCAGGGCCCGGAGTCCTGCTGCAGCTCCTGAGAATAACAGGCAGACACATGGAAAGAGCCACATCGCATGCTTACCATGCTGTCAATCGCATGGTTAAGTAATGCAAGGACGTGCGTCAGCCATGCAGATACTCTCAGAAAGGCACCGCCCACCTGTCAGTCACAGGCACAGAGCAGCTGACCAAAGGCCAATAGGAACAGGGTCTGGGGTGGCACAGGTGCGAGCCAAGCAGAGCTAACACACATCACATGCCCTTATTTACAAATGCATTTTATTTATTCATATTTATCCTGTATGGCTTTGTTGTACACAGATAACATGGTGCTGAAATGTGTAACTGTCAGGAAGCTGCAATGATGAGACGAAAATGACAGATAAACTGCTGATATACTGAACACCGTGTTCCACCAGCAAGGCCTGATCACATTTCTCTTTCAAATAAATACAAACTATCTAGAGAGTCTGTAATTTACCCTTTAAATAATTGAAACATAAATACTGTAATTTCTTTAGCTGCAGCAATTTAACATGTAAATGTCCTTTTAAAAAGATAATATGATCATCTTAGATGAACAGTTGCGTGAAACACAAGGTATGAGTGTCAACTACCACACCAATTTTTCCTCACCCTCGCCAAACGATCCAGCTATTAAAATTTGCATACTGAATCTATCGATTATCTACGATTAACCATGAAACGTGGAAAGTGAGCATTAAATTGACACGCGAGAACTAAACATTGGTGTTCAATGCTGTGTAGACAAGAAATGGCCAAAAAATATTCACAGTTGAACCAACGTTGATACAGAAGTTAAGGCCTCGTTAAAAAAGGGAATCTAAAGTCTCTGTCCATGCTTCGCTCGGGAGACGTTTGAGCCATCCCTCGCTCCAGCGGGAAGGGAAGTGTGGAAACAAGGCCAATATCGGCAGAACTCCTCTTGATAAGCAGAGCAGCACCCTGCCCTCTCCAGCTCCGCCTCTGGCTCCGCCTCACAAGTCTGACTCCGCCTCCCAAGTCTGACTCCTCCCTTACCTCAGGCTTTGCCACCAGCTCTGCCCTCCTCCAGCTCTGCCATTCATTGATCGTGCCCCATCCTGCTGGAGATGACCTTAGCCATCTCTTACGTGACGCTGAAATGTCACAGCTCACCCCAGTGCTGCTTCTGACAGCTCACACGAATGAGGTCTCCATCAGTTAAAATACAATAATTACTATAAAATTACAATATGAAGGACAATGACAGTAGTATAATAAACGACTTGGAGTGCATTATCAAGAAGCCCTTTGATGCCAGAAGTCCAATGTCTCAGTAACGGGGTCTGGTACTGCTGTTGTAGTGCAATGGCTGTCGTGCTGCCCCCCCGACCCCCCCATGCCCTGCTTTCACTGCATGCGGTCCAGCTGTAGCTGCTGGGGGGTGTACTGAATGAAGCCGGGGGCTGCCAGGGGGGCAGCCGAGACCAGGGGCTGCTGGACGGAGCCCGGAGCAGGAGCAGTGGGGGCTGGGCTCGGGGCGTAGCCGTAGCTGAGGAAGCCTGGGGAGGCGGCGTAGGGGTACTGCTCAAATGCAGTTGAGGCATACTGAGCATAGGGGGCGCTGTAGTCCATGTAGGGTGAATTGATGGAGGACATCTGTGAGGGAACTATGAGGCTGGGCTGTACGACGGCCTGTGGATAAATGTACTGCTGAAGCAGTCTAGAGAAAGAGAGGGAGAGAAGAGAAAGAGAGGGAGAGGGAAGGAGACAGGACATGAGCCAAAATGGGTATGCTAATGAATTTACACAGAGCAAATATGCATCTCAAAGCCACAGCGAATGCAGCTATTATGGAGAAGGAGTTAATCTTTAAAGCACTGGAGCAGTGCAAAAGAATTGAAGTACTATTCAAGCATATCATCTCTTGTGGGGTCAAGGCAGTGCATAACGGTTAATCCTGGTTGAAATCTGGCTAGTTCTTTGTGCTACCGGCCCGTGAGATTAGGGTGAAAATGTTTCATACATTAAATATTTCCCTGACATACATTTTACAAATTGCCAATGGCATGCAGCTAGATTTTTGACACACTTTAATAACACATTTTCACCAACACATTTTAGTATTTTCTCTACTAAAAAGAACAGACTTAGGCCAAAAGCGGTCAGAATTACAGAAAAACAGAAAAATAACAGAACACAGAGAATACAACTCAAATGATGTTTAAAGTCGTAAAGTGCACTTCCTCAAACTAAAATTTGAGGTAATTTTCCTGCCAAGTCAGCACAGTTAATCATGCACAGCCAGTGCAGTGCTCAACGCATGTGCAAATACAGTAAGTACAGTGAACACTGAAGGCTTCAGCTCATTTTTCGATAAAAGTGTTAGCAAATATTGACCGCAGGCTTCATGGTTCCCGCAGTGCCACCTCATACGGCAGAAAGATGGGTGATGAGCTGAGTGTCTTTGGCCACAAACATGCTTAGAAACATGCACATTGTACATGGGGATCTGCGAGCACAAGCAGAAGCCTAGATAGTTCCGCCTCCCAGCTGTTTTGGGAAGGGCAGCGAAAAGAGGAACACCAAATGTCGTCTTCTTGCCAGACAGATGACAACACAGCAGCGCATCACTTAAAGGAACAGCAACAGACTAAAATGTTATTTTGTATGATGGACTTATAGATAAGTCATTAATTTAACAGAATGTTTGCATGTTATCAAAACAAACAAGGGATGGAAAAGTGATGAAACTTCTCTGAAAAGCTCCTGCCCCCCAGTGATCCCTGTATAACAGCCAAACTGACAAACTGGTGCCTGCCACTTTAAGACCTTGACATCACCATCACCAGCTGTCACATGGTGCTTCAGTGGGCCTCCAGCACCATAAGCCAGTGACGTCACCGAATAAATTCTCACACACTCTAATGACAAGGGTGAGAAATATAGACCCGAATCCACCCCGGACCAAATACCAAACAATAATTACATACCGCAAACTGGAGTCACGCTATTAATAGGGGGGAAATTGCCCTCGGGTATAAAATTAATTTTCACCATTGTGTCAGAAGAGCACACATACTGACATGTGGAGGAAAGTCATTGCAGGTCAAGCCCAGCCCCCCTCTGCAGTGCCAGAGTGACTGCAGCCCCAAACACACAGCCGCCCATCGAGCAGACGCTCACGGTTACTGGCGGGACCTCGCTGACGAGCAGGGTGAAGACCTCCGCCCAGGCTGCAGTGAGATCTCAGGGCTGTGCGACTATCAGGCAGCGTGTAGGGGTGAGATCGCCACTGTGTTAAAAAAAAAAAAGCCAAACAGTGGGAAAAAAAAACACTGCAGGCATAAAAAGCTGCAAAAGCCATTTGCAGAAGATAGCAGCTGCTAACTCAAGGGCCAAGGCTCGGCCGTCACTTGATGTTTGAGAGGTAGAAAGTGATGACATGGGCCCCTTTTCGAAATGAACACGGGGGGGGGGGGGGGTTGAGTGTCTGATGAACATGACCATGCTCACCACACGAAGAGGCACAGTTGGCGGCCCCCTAATAGCAACCTTACTACAAAAGACCATGGCCTCTCAAGCAAGCAGCACCTAAAAATGGTCACATTCAGAGAAACGGCGCACTCATATCCCCATGTGCCACTAACAGGCGGAAAGAGCTACTCTGCGTCAACAGAAGTGACAGGCAGCTGGGTCTCTAAGTGAGCAGCCACAGCGGTAGCAGACAAGTGGGACACATCAAGAGGGACAGACTGAAGTCATAAAGAGAGCAGTGTTCCACTATGGATCCGTCCAAATGTCTATCCAGTACAGGGTCACAGAGAACACGCAAACACACGCGCACACTCACCAAGGACAATTCAGAGACACACGGTGCACAAACAGTGAAAGTGAACACATTAACAGATGCAGTGGGGTGGTGCGCAGGTCAGCAGGTTAGGACGCTGTCATCGGATGGACATCAGTTCAAACCCCAGGGTCAGCAGAGTGATTTCACTCTTGGGCCCTTGAAGAAGACGCTTAACCCCTAATCACTCCAAGGACCGTCTGAGCCTACTTCCTCATAAATCTCTTTTTTAAAAAGTGTGCTGCTTTAAATAAAAGTGTCTGCTAAATGACCCCCCCCCCCCCCCCGATGGGCATCCGATGTGACACTGTGACGTCTACAGAGGCATATTCTTGTTCATTGTTGGGGGGCCGGTACCACCTGGTGGCATAAGTAAGGCTCTAGCAGCAGAATCCCACAATCAGGCTCATCCCAGACAAAAGTCAATGAGCAGAGACTGGAGTGTTTGCATACAGAATTAACTGCGGGCCCCAATTTGCAAGATCTTCTCTAGAGGGAAACCAGTTTATTTTTAAATAGGGATGTGTAAAAACTTGTATTGTAGCGCTCCTCGCTCGCGTTGCGAAACGGCAGCATTCTCATTCCTGCCTCTGCCGGCCTTCGCAGTCTATTCATCTGTGTCAGGGCATCAGAGGGGTCGGCTACCAAAGCCTGTCTGCATCCCCCAGAGCACCGAATGGACCGGGTCGGGCAGCAAGGACCCTCAGTCACTGTGCTAATGGAACAGGCACGTCTCCAAAACCTGAGACAAACAGTCACTCATTCTTCTGCAAGATATTTTTTCAACCATGTATGCAAACTTCTCCAATAGCGCGTCTGACCTGACTCTGGCCAGGTGAGTCATAGTTTGAAAGAAAGAGCCGCCTCAATGGTTCTTAACTGGCAAGTGTCCCCCATGCCTCAGCCCCCCTCCCCCATACCTCGGCCCCCCTCCCCAGCGACACTCCTCTGCTTGCCAAGCCGGTCGCTATCTTCACACTGCAGGCCTGCGTCAGGCAGAGCGACAGCGGCGGCGCTGCTTGGAGGCGCAGTGCCGGTCCTGTTGCTGACGGCCAGACCGGTGGCGGCCCGTCGGGTCAGAGAGAACCCCCCCCCCCAACCCACTTCCACTGTACTCCTGCACTGCAGCCACAGCAGAACAATGCAAATAATTTCACCACTCAGAACTTCCAGTCCTTACAGGCATGCAGGCCAGTTAGGCCGCTTTTGAGATATGGGAAGGACATTTTCACTCACTGCTCAGTATTATATTTGCCACACTTTCTTTTAATATAATTAGGCCATTAGCGAAGAAAGGCCTGCATTATCTGACAAGACAGGGGACCGATTCACTGCACAAAGCATTTTGTTAATACGACACAAAGACAAAGGGATACTATGCAGATCCCTTCCATACGGACCTGTTTAACAAAACATAATGTTCAGCCCATTCCTATCTAGTTTACCTAAAATAAAGAGTATTCAGACATTAAAACCGTGAAAATGTGCATGAAGCCATCACACAGAATGACCAGTACAAAAGCTTTCCAGCAATAACAAAGAAATTAGCCAGGAGACCTGCATGCAGAAAGACCCATTAGATTCAAATGAGTCACCCTGCTCTAAACTGGGAATGAATGCAAACATGTGGCCAAGGTTAAGCCTGAACCGAGGCATGTCTGCAAAGCCAGAGGTACAAGACACCATATCTAATCAGAAGAGAAAGGAATGCATAATTCTGAGCGTAATGCACAAAACAATGAATAATTTTTATTCATGTAATCCATAATTGCATCCCTCAAACGCAAACATTTTGCTTCACAAACAGTACCCGATCAACAAAATTATAGCCAAAGTACTCTAGCTCTTGTGACTCGAACATAAAAAAAAATCAAGAAAAGAGAACTATGGGAAAAAGGGGATGTTGGCTGCCCCAACGAATGGGGACAAAAACCCCCAGATTTCTCCCAGCTGAAGAAATAACTGCAGTCAGGTGCAGGTAGGGCAAGAAAAGGCCACCCCTGACGATGGACTCATTCCACTGGACGGCAGCGACCAATCAGGTTCTCCCTAGCCCTGTGGGAGGGGACTTGCCATTTCTTAATCAATTGTTAACAGCGAAGAAAATGAAAATGTAATATAGCCGGCAGGCAGAAACAAGCCGTTCATCCCTCACTGGATCTGCAGACTGCACAGCCTAAAAATAGGAAATAATATGATGGCCCCCCCAAGAGTTGTCAGCAGTGTCTCAAACATAACTAATTTTAAAGGCTGCTTGAGTTCAGTACTTAATATACTTCTCCTCAAACCTGGCATCAAGCGTCAACAGTGTGACTGATTTCTGGGCCGTTCAGAAGTGTGTAAGCATATTAAATTATGAAAATGGATCATTGGACTTCTGACTGCAAAGGACCCCTTACAGACAAGATGCAAACTCTGAGATGAAAAACTAAACAGTTGTGTTGGTATAGGAACAATGTCTGCAAATTAGGACTCAACTTTGGAAATCACCAGACATCAAGGTTCCACAAAATTGCCACTGGGGGAAAACCAGCCAATAATAAAAAAATAAAAAAAACGCCTAAACATACAAATTTTCTACCTGACACTGAATGAGTCTCATTGTACTGGTGGTCTTGTATGGTCATGCACAATAACAATGAGGAAACAAATCTTAAAAGAAGTAGGGAGAAAAAAGACAATTGGCTGCACCTATATCCCTACCACAAAAACAGGCACCACAAGAGCGGAAACCAAAACACATCCACAACTTACCACCATCCGTAGGGGTTGAGTGGGTGTGTATTAACACAACCAACAGTGAAAACAAAATATACATAAGCGTCCAAAATAATATATTAATAATATAACATAAAGGGATTGTATTGACTCACTGCAAATGGAAATACTGTATTGTATTGCACAAATACTAAACAACCAAAAGTGGTTTCTGTATGTGTGAACACAGATCCTTCTGTTAGGTGGGACAGATGATGTGTGGTTTGATAGCTTACATTGGTTGCTTCTTCTTTTTAAGAATTGATATGGTTATATGGTGGGTTTTTACAAATGAATATCATTTTAGGAGTTTAATCGTATTTGTGTTTCTGCCATTTCAATTTGAGAAAGTGACCATTAGTCAGTAAAGCAGTTTAATACTACTGGTCCCTGTAAAATTAGTAACCATATAGAAATATATGAGCCAATATTATCAGTTATCGTAATTTTTAGCTCCTCAATCAAATCTGAGACATTTTTCGTATAAGTTATCAGTTCCTACAGCAGATTTTTGGAAATGGTGGTTCCCGCCTACACCATTACATCAAGGCTATGGTAAAGACCCAACACCCACCCAGAACTAGATCAATTTAGGCAAGACCACTAGACTCCTGGATCTTAATCCAACAAGCTCAGACCCCTTGCGTGTAACTAGCTGTTTGAGAATACGATTGAGAATAAACCTTTCGCTGCTCAACAAGGTAAGATAACGGGAATTAAAAACACCTTAATATGTCTCATTTGTTATTTGAGAAAAAGGAGATGTTAAATATTTCAGAAAACATTCTCTGGTACTATCTAGTTTCATGCCGCTGAACTTAGGAGTGGCATTTTTAATACGCAATACTTGGCTATCACAAGATGACTACTTCCAGACCATATTCTGCTTGCCAATAACAGTGACTAGAAGAGACCAACACACAATCCCAATTAAGCCCCCCATGAAATCATCCGAGTGGATAGCCCTTACTCACCCATGCTGCCTCTGGATCAGCGTGGGGTGAATCTGTTGTACTCCAAAGGAGAGGCCTGCAGAAACAGAACAGGACTCAGAGGAGACGGACTATTAGAGGACTGACACAACAGATGATGTCCCAGGTGGAGCAAGAGTACATAACAGGACATAGAGTACTGGGGAAAGAGGGAGGGAGGGAGGGAGAGAGAGAGAGAGAGAGAGAGAGAGAGAGAGAGAGAGAGAATGGGGTCCGAAGAGAGGTGACATATAGCACACAGAAGTTTACTTAGGGACATATCAAAAATGGGTGCTCCATTTAACTAGGAATTTACAAAAAACCCATGTTAAAGTATGTTAGTAAACTACCATTAAACTCACCATTAAAGCTTTACAAAAGTGTCTTGCATTTTGAATACAACCTCTCCCCATTTTAATACAGTACACCTAACCTAACAAACATCACAGTCTAGCCTAACCTACCTTAAACATGCTTAGAACACTTGCATTAGCTTACATTAGTTGGGCAATATCATCAACACATTGCCTATTTTATAATAAAGTGTTGAATATAATTTATTGAATAATGTACTGAAAGTGAAAAACATTTGCCCATTGTAAATTCAAAATATCTACACAGATAACACAGACCATTGTAAGCCAGGGAGCATCTTTTTTCAAGATATGTATATTTATGATAGGTCAGTATGGTTAAGGCTTAAGAACACTTGTAATAACCATCCATAGATTCTATTTCTTCTCACTGTAACTCAGAATGAACCTGAGCTTATTACCGAATGAGACAGTGCACTGCATGAGTCAGTTAGTCTCTGAATCTCTGCTTAAACCACTACTTCACTCACCCACACAAAACTGGGGTACTGAGAAAAAGAAAGACAGCTCAAACAACAGCCGGATTTAGAAAGACCCTTTCAGATTGACAAAGCAATGAGAGAATTGCTTGTGGGAATTTTACTTACACAAAAATGTACTGAGGGCAGAAGAGAAAATTATTGGTTCAAAGAGATAACCAATAAGACATCTCATGGTTGGTCCTGCCTCCTCTAATTGCTTGGACCCACCTCCTCTACAATCTGATTGGTTATCTCTCTGAACCAATCATTTTTCCTTCTGCCCTATGAACATTTTGTGTAAGTAAAACTCCCATGAGCCAGAGAACCAAGGCATAGTGCCTAATAGTCATATGGAACTAGCAGGGCCATATTACCTGTAGAAATGAGGCACTTTGGTTTACAGGCTTCCTTGGCAGATAAGTACTCATGAAGACACTGAACTGCTTGCCTCTTTTCTTACCCAGTACTGCTTTGTACCTCAGGGTGTTCTGATATTGCTCTCCAATTCTACCTTCTGCTTCATGCAGACCAACTGATCAAAATACTTCAAGTATGCATTTCCACCCTATACTTTCCTCCACTTCCTAGTGGCCCATTTGTAATCAATCACGCAGACTTTGTTAATGTATGTCTGCCTGTTATCGCCACACCAGGCAGACAAACTTCACCCAGAGCAAGTATCTCAGCTAGGTGTTTTATTTCAGTGCATTTTGCGGAAAGTCTCATGGCCCTGGGCTGTTCAGACTAGGGAGTGACCGGCAGTTTCACAGAAGAGAAGTTCAGTTCCGCCATCACTGCATGACACAGCACAGTCTTCATGCCACACACCCACTGCAACAGTGTGAAAGCTCTAAAAGCCATCATAAGCACAGCAAGACCCAGGCACTAAAAACTGCTATATATAACCTGCCATTCTGCAGTCTCTGTTAGGGCTCTATACCCCTTATTTACAATATTAAAAAAAAGGATTTCTTTATGTTTCAGATAGAAAAGATTTTACAGCAACACTACAAATGTATTTTATGCTGCACAGTGCCAGGGCAAATAAAAAACACAGATGCAAATGTAGGGCAATGGTAAATACTTCATGAATCTGTCCCACATTGATTTGGCCAGTACTCAGAGAATGTGAAGAAAAGAGGGTCACCACAGAGCGCATTCTAACGGTCGTGCATCATTCACAGATACATTCACACTCAAATGCATGTGTGTGCCAATCTGCTAATGTATATGCTTTATATTCCTATTCAGTTCATATTCATAGATTCAAAGACGTCAATATATACGTTTCATACACACATATACGCATACAAGAAAAGTGGAAGATGGAATAAGTGTGAACGCAGTGAATGGTCTCACCTCTTGCTTGCTCACCTGCCTGCAGACCACGAGGTTTGGCGCCCAGATATGCCAGGTTGACATTAGCTTTCCTGCCATCAATGATGGGGTTGGGGTCTTTGCAAGCCCTCTCTGCAGCCCCCCTATCTGTCATGGTCACCTGAGGCAAGGAGCAGCAGGCAGGCTACTTGAACACTGAGAGATGCGGACACTTCAGAGGCTCCTGAGCTCTCAGCAACACATGACGGCTTCAACCCGTACTACAGAACATCAAACACGGTCACGTACGCAAACACTCCATCCAGATTTCAGAAGTGTTCAGACCTTCATATTCAACTGTAAACCTGAAAATGTTGAATGATAGCAAGCAGATTAATTATAATTCTGGATCTTCTACAAAAGTGCATTAACTGAGGTTAGGCAACCAATGCGGGTCACAGAGGAACAGAGAGCAGAAATTCTGCAAATTGAGCGATTTGCTACTCTCACATCATCTTTAGAGAATAGCAGTGTGTGTATCTCTGGGACTGTTTTGTGGTTTAACATACATTCGCTCTTCGAACAAACAAAACCTTCCTAAGGGCAGTATGTGGCCTGTTCCTCACAGCTGTTCAAGGAATGACCTGGATAACTGCATACCCTACAACTAATATATATATATATATATATATGGCGTGCTGGAGAAGGTGTAAAGCCTCACCCTTTCTGACTGAAACTCCTTGTGAAGTTGGAGGAATAATGTCAGTTCATAACAGTGCGTGAAGAACCACAGCAGGCTGAGAAATGTGCACACAACAGTTACCACATTAATCATAATAACTGCAATAGGACTAACTCATAAAAGAAACCAAGATTAGCGGTGCACAATTCAGGAAAAAAATCTGCCAAGGAATCTGTATTATTATTATGTATTATATAAATTATGTCATGCAGAGTCAGGGAATTAAGAAGAACTGAAAAGCAAATAAAATCTCATTATCTGAGTGTGAGTATATTCTTCTAGGTGGTAACACCAGAACAAATCAGCAAAACTATTTAAAATAAAAAAAAATATCGAAACAAAGCCGGGAAAAACTGTTCTCCATGAAAATCCCTAAACCAGAATAAAGCAAAGTAATGGAGCTGTACGCTTCCCAAAAAATCCAACTAAACAAGGAATGTCACATGGTTTTATACGACTCTTGTGTACCAAAATGTTCCACATTAATTAAAGTATTAAGTAAGTTATTTCACAAAACAATAGTCCAGCGCTATCCGTTTGCTCAGAGGATCACAAAAACAGACAAAAGTAAAAAAAAAAAAAAAGTTAAAAAGAAAAACCTTTTAAATGCGATTCACTTCCATAGATAATGCAAGCAGCCCCAAATGCAGCTGAACAAACAAGACGTCCAATACAAGCAATATCATTAGTACGTAAACCGTTTCCATCTGTAGGTTACCTACAGCGATTAATCCCAACTGTAGGACGGAACAACTGCAGTGCTAATAAACAGTTGATGTCTTAATAATTCTTGATAAGCTCAATTCGACGTCTTTAATTAAGCGAAGTCACAAACTGGAATCGGCGTTATTTTTCTTAAACTTGAGTGAAACGCAATTCACCCTTCGCCCGAAGGATTCCTGGGGGCACAAGGAACTTATATCTGAAATCAAATATCCTGAACATTTGGGGAAGAAAAAAAAACAGAGGGATAGAAGTTCATTGTACAACTGAAAATAAATGTAAAAGCGAAACTTGTGTTACTGTTAATCCAGTTGGGCGTGTTCTGTAGCCTTTGCTACCAAGGCATCTAAAAAGAGTGTATAGGTTCGGGGGAGAATAACTTGTCATATTTGTGACAGATGGTCGTGTGCATCAGAATGAGGAAATATAGAAATAGTAACTGGCATGAAAGAATCAATTACGCCTATTGCAGTTCTCATAAATAGGCTTAACACGTATACATAACGACCGAGAAAAAGCTATAAATATAGTTTCAAATGAACAAATGCAGTACAAGAGACGTTTTTAGCGAACGTGTGTTTGTAAGCAGGCTATGCTGTTTTTCGGAAACTAAGAAAACACAACTACTCGAAACAGTAATAAGCAACAGTGAAGGAAGTATTAGCAGCACCCGAGTGCACTATACAGCTGAGGATCCTGAGTAAATAGAAATCGATCGAGCTCTGCATACAGCTTACTCATATTAGTATCGAGGCTTTAAAAGTGTACCGAACTGTCATGAAATGAATTCAAAATGCATAATACGACGTAATGAGAAGCCCGATCTTATTATCTTACAGGACAGGCTACTTACGAATCCATATCCTCTGGATTTACCGGTCTGTCTGTCCGTTATCACAACAGCTTCTTCAATGTCTCCGAATGCTTCGAAATATTTTCTTAGAGAGGCATCATTGGTGTGGTATGGCAAACCACCCACGAAAATCTTTGTAAAAGTAGTGTCTTTCGAAATTGTGGGATGCATGCCTTCCAGCGCTCCTTTAGCAAACTGATGTAAAAGCATTGATTAGCTAAAATAGATGTTACAACAATCAGATAATGTTGACAATCTGCATGAGCTACTAGCGGACGCTGGCAACGTGGTCCGGCCAACAACGGTAGCCAGCCTACAAAACGCTAAATAGACCTACTAAAATGAAAGTTTAACATAACGGAAATCATTCAGAGAAAAATAATACTTATACGTTCTCCCTTTGAATAAATGACCCCATGCAATGTTTCGGTTTCTGTCCTTTAGGGGTAAAATAAAACTAAAATAGGCCGCCCTTCCTTAGCAGGTGGCTTTTGTCACCGTTTAAAAGCGCCCGGAAAGGATTTTATACTGTACGCGCTTATACACACCTCTTTGATTTTTTTGTCCGAAGCCGCTGCCGATTGGCTGCTCACCTGGCGAAGTCCCCGCCCCCTGTCGTTTTTATTATGACGCAACCGAACCCGCCCTCCCTTGTCCCACACCCAAGTTATTCGCTTTACACCTGCTTTTGTCTTCAACAATAAGAAGTAAGGCACTATAGTACTCCGAATATTACTATTAAGCTGCACATAATACATGGTATACATAGTATAATTAAAAAATAATAAATAATAAATAACTAAAGCGCAATTTTACCATATTTTAAAGGCAATGTAAGTATCGTGTTAGAACCCGTATGAAAGTCCCCTATATTAACGTACATGCTTGAATATTAACAATATTGAATTCGGTTGGCGAAATTGTTAAACTGCCTAAGTGCAGGACATAATTTGACGACACAGTAACCTACTATTTATGCGCGTTATCGATTTTAACAGTAGACCCGTGCAGGAGACAAAAACTAGAATTTATCTAGATATAACACCGCAAACATTATTAGCATTTCATCTATGCTCAGTGTCCCGTTCTTTTGATGCCTTGACATTCAGGCCAGCTTGGATAACTGAGCATTAGATTTAAGAAAAATGCCTCTATGTCGAAAAATGTCCATACATGTAGCACTGTTCTCTTGCTGAAATTAGCTTTGCCCTAACTCCTGCCTAGATTGATATCACTCTAAAAATTTAGGACCCTTGCGAAATATACACGTCTCATTGGCGGTACAGTCACAGTGTGGTAAATAGTCTTAATGACCTCGGTAAGGGTACGTGAACCTGTCACCTTCAGTCTGTCTGCCCCATGTTATCCCCAGTGAGTTCTCACCTCTGTCTTCGCTCCTTTTACTTGCAGTCCTTTGTTCCTCCGTCATTGATACTTTGATGATAAGTACTTAATTCCTTTGCTCTAGTCCGCCTTAAAGATACATGAATAACCGTTGCTTTGATCCTGCCACTTAAGGTTTTTTTTTTCTCATAGACTTCAGCCCCCAGAAAAACTTACTAGTTATGTGTACGCTTAACAGTGAAAGGACTCCCTCTAGCGCACATCTGCTTTGAACTCAAGCTCGTCTTTCGGTACTACCGTACTCCGCTAATAAAATTAAGGATCATCCAGGAGTTAATCTATGTATACGAGGCATACTACACCTGCACTTCATGTGAATGTATACAGGTCTAGTGCCTATTTATTATTAATTAATGTATTTTATACTTTTAGTTGTGCTGGATGTCTGAACGAGTACGTTGTATTTAATTGTCCCTAGCATTGTACCACATTCTACTTATTTTGTTGCAACATCCAACTTATCCATCCATTTCTGCGCAGTTCATAGAGCCAAACTCCTGAAATGCAACAGGACATTGTAGCAACTCTGTGTTTCCTGTATCAATGCACACACACACACACACACACACACACACACAGCAAGAGAGATTTGTAATTATATCTTTGTTGGGACTCTCCAATCATTTTTATGGGGAAAACTCTAATCCCACATATGATGACCTTAACCCCTACCCAGCCCAAACCTTAGCCACACGTAACCAAACAAAATACAGGCCTTTGACATTTTTAGTTTTCTGATTGCAGTCACAAATTATTGTAAAATTGAGTTTTCCCTTGTGGGGATTGGAAAAATGTGATACATATATAGGACCACACACACACAATTTCAATAAAAAAATGGAACCACAGTAACAGAAAATGTCATTTACAAAAAGTCAGAAAAGGAGGTTAAAAACCTTTTAGATTTGGTCCATAATAAATATATTGTTCTGTCACTGCCAATTGCAAGAAAGACTGTACTAGACATGTGAGTATTCTGCCGAGGATGTGATTTGTATTGGTGACCTTCCGATGACAGCCACAGGGACCTGACCCGCTACCCCACATGTCCGGGGGTCCACACAGACACAGTGCAAGGGCTGAGTCTCACTCTGCATGGCTCAACCACCTCTGTGATCCTGGCAGGTTATATCTCCTGCCAGCTAAGCATCTGTAGGCAACAGTGAAACACTCCTTTTGCTGCTAAATGGGGGGGTGGTGGTTGCTCTCAGGTCTTTTGCCTGCTTCAGTTATCTTGGTTCCAAAAACCAAAGCGCATGGCCACAAACAATCATATAGCTAAACCAAGTGAATCACCTATATAAGAATAAAATATGGAGAGCTTTCTGTTTTATTTACTTTTTATCGTTGACGGGGTGTATACAGCTTGTGGTACGGTTTCTCTATATCTATTCAGTCCATGGCACTTTTAAATTAAAGTTGTCCTTGGCCATGCAACCCATATAAACACTAAACTCAAGGAATCCCCAATCAGAATGCAGTATGTAATGGTTTGGATTAATTCTATTGCCACAAACTGGTTGTCACAAAAAAATAGTTAACAGATAATGAACATGTTGCTGAAACACGATACTGGTCATTTATCTATCCATCAATTCTCAGACAGGTGCAGAAGCTAATTTATGAAGTCCTTTATGAACACTGAATTCCTCACTCCATCCCAGGGAGAGAGTCCACCAACTTTGTGGAGAAACCTAGTTTCTGTTACTTTTACTCGAGTACCATGGCCTTGGATTTAGAGGTGCAGATTCTCATCACTGCTGTTCCACACTCTGCATCAAGCTGTTCAAGTTGTGCTCTGGAGGACCTGGGTGGATGAAGCCAAAAGAAGAATACCATCTCCAAATATCAGTGATGTAATTTCTATTCCCAGTACCACCCATGTTATTCCAGTGGCAACAGGCAGAAGTTTATGGATTGTTAAAACTTCAGCATTGATCAGTGAATAACAACAACACTGAATAAATCATAAAAATCATGGGGGGATTAAATATAAAAATATCAATATGAATATAAATATAAAAATGCTTAGTTCCACTGTCCTTTGCATGGAAGTCTGGACAGTGTGGGATTTGGGTTTGGTGCACTTCTGTGTTAGTAATGGATGGCCAATGGATAGCCTTTAAATAGTAAAGTAATACTTAAGGGAAAAAAAACAAGTTAACATGTTAAAAGTTCTAAGGACTTTTTTCACTTGTTCTATCTGAACTGGCTGATTGTAATTAAGATCCACCTTAAAGTCAAAGTGAAAAGTCAAAGTATCTTCATTGTCATTTTAAGCTATACAATCCATAGGTCACGAGCCAAAATGAAATTATGATCTCGTTGGTCATAGTGCAAGAAAAAACAGTGATAAACAGAATATAAATGTAACGTTTTAAACACTGACATACTGAGACATGAGCAAAGACGTAGACAGGAAAATTTAATCAAAAATACATATGTAACAGTTTAGGCACTGTTCAGGTGTGAAAAGCCCATATAGTACACCATAGACTGGTGATGTAACATTTCTGTAAAAGATACAACATCATAATGCAAGGGGTATGTTGGAGAATATTTTTGTTTTACAATGAAATTCAGTAGCATAGGCCTGGTGACAATACTCGAGTGTACAGTATAGTTGCAATGTGTAGAGAGTGCATTACTTACCTATTCTCATTTCTAAATGTCCAGATCATAAGCACACCCGTGAAGTGGTTCAGGAAGGGCCAGACTGTCTGCTGAACCTCCTTCCTGCTCAAGCCTCCTCTCATTCTCACTCCTGTTTCTCTAGCTGAGTCTTTCCCAATCTGGTCCTCGGGGACCCACAGCCGGTCCATCCTTTTGCTCCCTCCGAGCTCCCTGTCAGACAGACCACGTTTTTGCTAAAACATGGACTGTCTGTGGGTCCCTGAGGACTGGACTGTGAAACAGTGCTCTAGCTCTTTTGGCATTCTGAAAAACAAAGCGACCTGGCAATGGACTAAGTTTTCAAGCTAAAGTCAGCAGTTACGTTTTCGCAAAAAAAACCATACAACTGGTAAAACTCAGTAACCCCAGTTTTTAGAACACACAGGCACACCTTCATTGGACTGCGGTTACTTCCTTTAGTTCTAAAGTCAGGATTGGTTCCATTTAAAACGCAGATCTCAGGGAGTGGGGATACAGCATGACTAACACAAATTTAGGGAGTATACATCAGAGCTGAAATTATATTCCACTTAGTCACAATTGAAATGAGTTCCACTGAAGAATATTACCAGTATTATTTAGCTTACCTATTATTTCCCAGAAAATCAAATTCAGCAAATAAAGGACAACAGAAATTTGCCTTGTTACATTTAGTAGCAATCTATATAGAATATACATAACATTAGCTAGCTGTGAAGCTCCAGATGGTCTGTTAACACCATGCTGAATCAATGGGTGATAAATAAATGATGCAATTAACTAAAAATACATTTTACTTCTCTACTTGAGATGAAGTCATAAAGAATTTACAGACAAAATACAGCAAAGAAATAATTTTTTAGGCAAAACATAGTATATTTCATATGGCCGGAGTATTAAATGTATCTTACTGATTCCAGAAAATAAATAAGCACTTATATCTTTTCTAAGTATGTTTTAAGTATTAGAGGCTGTTTAGATATGAAAATGATTTAGATTCCAGTCTGTCAAGTTACGTCAGGTTAGGGAACACCTTAATTTTTGAGTGATTACGTGGGTCTTTTGTCCAGGATTGTTACATAATCAAGTTTAGAACCCGGAACCTGCAAATAAGTATTGGGTTTAAGCAATATGTAGCATCATTAAGTCCAAATTAAGGCTCTACACGGTTAGTTAACCTAACACGTTTACTGAATATTAAATCTGGGAACAGACTACATGTTATCGTCCGATCTGTAAGCTATTTATTAGGATGCATAAAAAAGTGTGTCTCTAAAATGTATATGTGTGTGTCCCTTACAAGAGAACGGCATCCTGTCCAGGGTGTACCCCAGCCTCCTACACTATCCTGCCTGGGACTGGCTCCAACCAACCCCGTCACCCTGCACTGGACAGAGAGCTGGATGATGGCTGGACGGACATCCATATATATTATCATTAAATATATTAAGTTGTTCCCTATGTAATTAAACCCAATTAAAATATATGTATGAATGGAGTATACCAAGCAATAACACAAAAATAATACTTTATCATATAACACATATGTTATCATTTTACTGAAAATTCATAAATATATCATATTATTAAGATACATGAAATGTTTTATGTCATACTATGTATGACGTTTACAAATCAGAAACGTAACAATTTTTCAAGGCAGTGATGGCAAAAAAAAAAATGGCCACAAGGTGGCAGTTTGGCTTCATATCCAGCCCCCGTAGCGCAGTTTATTCGGTAGGTACACACGAGTTAAAAAGTCTGCAGCTATTGATGTCAAACACTGGATTTCCGCTTTCTGTTTCCATTTCTGCAACAACTCCATCTGCAATAAGTTTGTACGATGTAGCGCAGACAATACAACATTTTGTACTTCTGAGACCTGAATACGTTATACAGCCATCTTAGTATAAATATTACATTTCCCACATTCCTTTATGCCTGTGTACAAAAACCATCATTGCAATTTTATAGCATGTCAGACACAATTTATACACCACTGTAAAACTTCCAGGTGGCCTCACGCCTTTGTGGAAACCATAAGCATAAAGGCTTTCTGCAGGTCACCTACGAGCCTGGCAATTTTAAGTTACGTGACCCAAAAATACATATAATTAAGTATTCCATTTTGGAGGAAACAAAAACCAGGTTAGCTGAAACATTTCCTGGCAGAGCGTTCTTGATTATTACCTCCTTTTCCCAGGCAGGCTGGAGGCTGACATATGGCCGCTTCAGCAGGCTAGAGAGTTTGCTCTCATCCTTCTTTGAGAATGGAACCAGGGCATCTTTTGGCACTCTCAGCCTGAAAAGCACCATCCCACTAGACATGCTTCTACTACAATGCAAGACACTGCCTATAATGTCTTAATGGAGTATGCCAACATCTGACATTTTTACATCTAAAACAGACACAGGCGTTTACATAAAAGTCTAACGGGCACAAATTCCCACTGCAACATTTCAACAAAATTCTACGCATCAGTAGTTTACACTTGCGTTAATATAAATAATCTTGTGTTATTGCTACTATATATAAAAAAAAGTTTTGGGAAATAAATTTTGTGATTACGGGAAGATCCCTTACAGTCTGACAATATGACACGCAAAAAAAAGAGAAGGTTTAAAGGCAAAGTCTGGGCAATGTAACATTAGTTTCAACTTAGCTTTCGAGGTTGAATATACTCCTCTTGGAAAATAAAATAAAGAAGCAATCATACTTTAACATTTAATTGAAACCAGAGCATAAACACTGGTGAACAAACCTCTCAATATCGGATGGTAGGAGACCCAGCCACATCACACTCGGGACAGTTAGACTCTGTGCCTCAAATGACATTGACTGTGCAGGGAAAAGGAGAAAAATACTTTCCCACAACTTTTTTTCCCAAAAACAAAAAATATATTTCACCAAAAATATGTTTATAGGTCACAGTTAATAATATGCTGAGCAAAAGAGAAAAACCCGTGTCTTACCACTGATCCATACTTGTAGATAGACATAATTTCAATGCCTAGGAATAGCAGAGACATACTGTAATCACCACCATACAAAGACAATTATTCTCAGTTTGTCATTTAAAGGAACAAAGTACAGCACATTAATTTTGTAACATGAAAGAAGTAGAAATCAGTGACTGTATCAATAAATTCAAAGAAGGCAGTGATCACGTCAACACCCCCAACTTAATGACCAAGCCATATTATCTCAACTTCTGTCAGCTGAATGGCAGTCAGTCAGCTACTTGCTCTTATTTCACGACCTCGTTAAGTGATCCATCACAGAGAACGGGCTAAAAAGGCATATACCGTGTGGGTCCGCATCCACCAGTGCTAAAATGGGAATGTGCAAAGTGTCCCACAACTTCCTAACCATCAGCCTGCTGTTGATGTCCGGCACACCCTTTCCCTTGCAGAGATAAGAACCAGGGGTCAAAGTTAACTCATTCAGTACACCATGTGGCAGAATAACTATCCATTTCCATTCCTTGTATTTAATAACCCATATCCACTGCACAAAGTCACAGTGAGCCTATCTCAGGAAGAGTTCTGAAAGCAGGGTACATCATGTGCACACATACAGTCACATGGTACAAGAAACCCCAGACTAAGAGACACCAATTTACCCAAAATGAAGGACTGTGGACAGTGGGAGGAAACCCAGCTACCACAGAGAGAATATGCTACACATCAGCCCCAGATACATAGAGTCAGGACAGGAGTCACACGCACAGATTTGTGGCTCTTTATCCACAATGCAACGCTACTCATATTTAAACATTTTCTATTTCTAAAACAAATAGCATTTAAGAAAATAATATTACAAAAATTTACTCCAATATTGTTCTGCCATTTGACCACATAATAACATATAGTATCAGACTTACTGTAATCATGATGCATGGAGATGTCTTTGAGCCAAATTCATCATCCAGGAGTCTCTGAAACGTTGCATCTTTTTCTACAATAAGAATGAACTTTGCAGAAGATACAATATCTAAAACTTGTTAAAGGAGACTTGTTATAAAAGCAGTTTAAAAAAAAAAAATCATTTCAAAATCAAACCTTTATAGATGATCTTAGATTTAATTATGCCAAAACAAATTGTTAATCCTTTTATCATTAAACTGGAAAAGGATACTCTTTATTCCATAAACATTGGATGAAACTGAGACTGCCTAAACAAAGAAACATACAACATATAAACAGTTGAGACCATTCTGATCTAATTCCATTTTTTTGCCATAATGCTTAACTGAATGTTTATATGTTTTCAACAATTAAAACCCATATGGTTTCATGACTAATTTTCAGTCATTCAGATGCCATGCATAGTGAGGGGGACAAACATGGTTTCAAGATACCACTACACAAATTAAACACCAGAGCAGTGCTTGACAATTGTCATGAACCTTGCAACAATTATTCTAACTACACACTGAAAGAAATGAGGGAGAAACTGAATTTCTTCTTTACACACTGTGAGGCTGGATTTGCAGTTCATTTTGGTACCATCTTCTTCCTGATAGCACAAGTCACCTGATATCAGACCCTTTGATGTGGCAAGCTGATAGTGAATTCAAGAGGAAAAAAAACTCAAGGAAAGGTAGAGGCTGAATTGTCCAAATATGTACAAGCATACAAACACTCAATGCTTTTTTCCAATGCAGGAATGTGTTAGGTATCTCTTTCAACTATATGTTGAATAATATGCTAAATGTAGACAAGTACACAGAGATCGGGTGCCACAACAAGCACATACCACATGTAAGCTCCTGCGTGGGATCTTGAGCATGCAGGAAATGTCATCGACAACAGAATCCACAGTCCTCTGAGATCCAAAAAGCTGTGTGTCATTGTAATAGATGTCCCTGTGGAAACAAGCTCGAGTACTGACCCTAATACAACATTACTCACACTTGGGCCAGTCAGATACATTTTATGTGGCCAGACTGAGGCTGTTACCTTTTTGTGGCATATGTGTTGCTCTGAACAAGTTTATAAACAGTCGATAAGACCTTCAAAGTTGATGCTGAAAAAGATAAAAGCAGGCCCACTGAATTTTACTTATGTGTGCATGCATGCCCATTTGGTGTGGCCTTCCAGGTTGGTTTAAGCCCACTGAGAAGTACCTTGAGCAGAATAGGTTTACGATGTTTACTAGCTGGGTGTAACTCTGTGAGTTATCTGTTACTTCTCACCAAATCTGCCGATTGACGAAGGACAGTCACTTCTGACAATGTTGACAGCTGTGTCAGAACCCATGTGAAGGCCAATATTACTGTGAAACCTTAGATAAAAAGTGGAATTTAAAACATTTAGCAGAATTTTATCATTTACATTTTAACATTTCTTTAGCTTTACCACCCCCCCCCAAAGTAATATTATACTTTTGTCCTCCAAGAAATAGACCAAAACTACTGTTGTAGTACGAACACCACATCCATATGATCTAAAGACACAGTAACCGTGTAAAGTCTGCTTAGTTATGTAAATACTACGCTCCATATTTCAATGAACTTCAGGTTCCAGCGCCCCATATATATATATATATATATATATATATATATATATATATATATATATATTCAGCACCAATAAGTTAATTAAGAAATAATTCGGCTTCATGGTGGCAGATGCCTACCTGACATTAAGCCAGTGGGATCTGCTGTGAAACGCCAGGACGGGCGCTTCCCCCCGGGACAGACTGAGCACTATTCCCAGGATCACGTTCTCAATACGTGACAGAACATCCTGACTTAAAATAAAAGCAAGGAGACGGTTGTGCGGCGAAACTACACTGCAGACAGGAGAACTCGATAGTTATTACCAGGGTTACCAACCTTAGTCAGCTGGCTGGAGTGAGATTTTCAATTCGAGACAAGTCTGCACACGTATTTACATATGTAGCAGTTTTATTAATTTGCACATAGTCTGTAGGGTTTACAAAGTACCCCAACACTTTTGATGCAGCTAATTTTAGGTTCACAATGTAATAACATAGATTTGCCGTAAGATTTCTTGCGTAGAGTCAGAAAATGTGAATGTCACGTCAGATGCGTGAGAGCTGGGAACCACGAATTATGCATATAAATAATTCACGTTTTTACTAAACAGTATAACTGGGCCACGATAACTGGGTGGGTGGTGCTTTTACCTGGTTACCTCCTCCCTCTCCGTCTGAAAGGCGTCTTGTCCATCTTGACTATTCAAAAGCCTGGCTCTGAGCTTTTCGACTTCGAGCAGCTCCTCAAACTCGCCTGTCACTACGGTCTGACAGAGAAACGAGGGACACGAACAGCAATATCGGACACATCGTCTGTCACTTTGGTCTGACTAAAACGAGGGACACGAACAGCAATGGCGGGACATCGTCTGTCACTTTGGTCTGACATAGAAACGAGGGACACGAGCAGCAATGGCGGGGACATTGTCTGTCACTTTGTTCTGACATAGAAACGAGGGACACGAACAGCAATGGCGAGGACATCGTCTGTCACTTTGGTCTGACAGAGAAACGAGGGACACGAACAGCAATGGCGGACACATCGTCTGTCACTTTGGAGTAACAGAAACGAGGGACACGAACAGCAATGGCGGACACATCGTCTGTCACTTTGGTCTGACAGAGAAACGAGGGACACGAACAGCAATGGCGGACGCATCCAACGGCTCAGCCTCTGGAAGCCCGACATACTCTCAGCTGCTTATCTAGCGGTCTAGTCAATACCTATTATTTTACAGGTACAAAATACCACCCGACTACTTTTGTTAGAAAACAAGAGAATAATGATAAATAATAATGTTCACTATTCAAAAGGAATTTTGGAAAAAAAAAAGATAAGAAAACCCATACATTCATCGCAAAGGCAGCGTTCTGGACTGTTAGCTACCGAGAGTTAGCAAAGGAGCGTTAGCGCAGGGCTGCCAACTGTCACGTGACACTCACGCTTTCAGACTCTCACGCTCACGCAAGAAATCTTATGAGAAATATATATCATTCCATTATAAACCTAAGATTAGCTACATCATAAGCGCTGAGGCAGTTTGCAAACCCTACAAACTATTCATAAGGTAATAAAAGTCTTCCATACATGTAAATGCCTGTGCATGTGTGTGCAGACTTGTTTTGACTTCAAGTCGGCATCCCAGGTTTTCTACGGAGCTCCAGAGCTAGTTTAAAGACAGGAAGACCCACATAAAAAGATGAATGTATGACCTCCCCCAACAAAAAAAGCACTGTTTTTAAACAAAGGTTCTGTCTATATCTCAACATTTTATGACGTATTCCTTACCTCAGTAAATACCTCAATAGCTAATGTACATTGGCAATGATATTGAATATTATATGACCTATAAATCAAGCAACTTGTTATAATGCAGGTGTTGGCTGAGAGAAAAACTAAACACTACATTTACCCCTCCTGAAGGGTCAGTGGCAATAAAAAAATGTTTATAAATACAGTTGCAGGCAACTACAGGTGTATTTACAGTAAGGGGGCCTAAGTAGCACATTATTTTAAGCATGTTTTGGAAATTTATAAACGCTTATGTGTTTGAATAAGATCATGACTTAGTTAGACCTTAATCCAGACTAACTTGTGTTTTTTGTTCTGAAAATTGAAAGACCATGACCGAAAGAGATTGTTAGGAGGTCAGTGAATGTAAATAAAATTTCTAATGGATGCTAACACTCAAGAGTGTTGACATTTCACAGTGGTAAGTCTGTTTGTTTATTAATCCCAAATTTTCCAGCGACTTGTTTACAGACTAAAGCCATTATATTTAAGCAATACTAACAACCCGTGTCTATCATGCTGAAATCATGTAAAGCTGTTTTTAAAATAGTCAAAGGTGGTGCTGGTCAGGGGGAGATGTTGAGTAACTACTAAACTTTAGTGCACAGGTTTCAGAAGAAATAATAAATCTTTCTTTATTTTTGTGGAGACACCATAATTTATTTTAATAGGATTATTACCCGATAATATAGCTGTTAAGATTACAATGTGACTTGCAGAGATCATGTAACACAGTGTATGGCCAGATTCAAAGAATTACATGTTGATGAAAAGTATCAAATGAATACATGAATGAATTAAAAAACAGTTCTTGTGTGGATATCCAAGCTGCTATGATGTCACTACGGGGTGGATGAAGAGTGATTTTCCCAGAGCTGCACGACACTTAACACCTCATTGTGCCTGACTGGCCACATTAGCACCTTCTGCTATGTTTGTCTCAGGAGGACTGCAGATGTTTATACGACAGAAAACCAACCGTGGGCTATTGAAGTACAAAATATGCTGTGATCTGTGTATACTGTCCAGAACTGTTGTACATCCAGTTGGAAAACCCAGTGGCTGTTTTGGTTACTTCCTGTTGAGAACAAAGAAATTGTGCTTATGGAATCATGAGGGTGCCTACTGAGCATTTAGGTAACATGACAATATATATTAAAGTCTTGAATAAACAAAGTGGTTACCGTTGCTTATGTTCTTAACAATGGGACATACAAAAAAAAAGCATCCACTTTGCAAAGGCGTTATAGACAGAGTCCTATGAGTTCTTTAGAAATAGCTACTCAATGAGCAACAAAGGCCCAGACAGCACCTGTAACAGCCTAGGACTCAAAACTGCAGTCTGTTTCTGTAAGTAGTACGTGTTGACGAACCTAAAGTGGTTTTGTTCGAGTAGCTAAATGATACCTTTGTGTGATTTATTGTGAGAATTCTTTGCTAGCTTCCCCCATACAGCTCCACCTCCTCTTCAGAGAACAGACGCACATGTACGCACATGCGTTTGACAGCTGCCTTTGAATTTTCAACATTTAACTTCTCTTAAAAGCTGAGTGACAGCAATGTCATCCGACAAATCAAGAAACAGCTATAATTTCTAAAATATGTCATAACTGCTTCTAACGAGTCCCTCATGGCTGATGCCCCAGTGGTCTGTATGCCTTTCCGCTGTCGGCTGCTTGCCTTCACCCCTTAAACACACAGAACTGTAGCCTTATTCTCAACTGTTTAGCAAAACTATCTTGGAAGCCTGGATTTCAGACCCTTCGAACATATACCAGGGCTCGGTTTTAAAAAAAAAAACACACACCTTGCTTTAAGAAATAAAGTTTATAGGCATAGAGACTAGTGACTTTCCAGCAGTCAAAACTGAGAAATGATTGCATTTTATTAATCCTGAGACGACCTTTTCAGAATATTAATAACTCTTGTTGTTAAATATATGTCATTCCATTTCAAATTGTTACCCAACACAGAAACTCTTGCCTAGATTTTTCTCAGCTGGTCTGGCCTTTTAATAATTCAGTTTTTCTTTTCTTTGTTGCTTACAACTTGTCCAGTGTATGGGCTGCCTGAATGTAGAGAGACGAGGCCTTTGCCCTTGGTCTGACCCGAAGTTTCACTTAACACAGAGCTTTAATGGACGTCTCCTCCTTTCCTGAGTGCTGGTGACAGGCTGCTTCCGCAGTGCTTAATTGCTAGCTAATTGCTATCTCTTGATAAAAAAAAAAACCACAATCTGTGAAAGGCCACAACATCTGGAATTATTTTTTCCCAAAAAGCAGGGGCGCCTGCTGTTCTCCTGGATTGTGAAAGATCCTTGGCAAGTGTGAGGCATTAACCTGTGGAGACTGAGTGCAGCCAGTTATGTGCTTGTCTTGGGACGAGTGTTTGCACTGGGTCACAAGGTCACTGTGCAAGGGGGGTGGGGGTGGGGGGCTGCAGGTGAGGGGGATTAGCTGCAGCCAGAGGCCCAGTGAAACCAAATACAGGTCTGTCAGCTTAATCCCTACAAATAAAAAACAGAGCTGTTTTACGCACACCCCCAGCCTGGCCCCGACGTAGTTCCAGGCCAGTTTCTCATCCGCCTTTAGCACAGCGTTGTGGCTGGACTGCGGCTGCTAATGGGAATCCGGTAGGTGGCCCCAGAAGAAGCTGTAACAGATGGCTTATGGTTGTGCCTGACAAATCAGCTCCAGCAATGGATTACAGAGAAGATGGACCCAGTCAAAACATTTGGGTGGAGACAATTATATATACTATGGTACTTCAGAATTTACCATTAGCAGCATGTTATTGGCTTAACCAAAGCATTTATCTAAAAGTATCTTACAATTTTAACTATTTATAAATACCCAAGTTTTACTAGATCACATTCAAGTTGAATACCAGGTTGAGTAACTGTTGACCAATAGCAAGTCCCTCCTAGAGCCTGGATTGCCTTCTGTAATGTTATGGTTGCACCTTTAAACACCATACTGAATAACAAGCACTGTGAACATTTAAGCTGGCATATTCTGGTGAAGGAAATTAAATCAAAGGCTGATGATAGGTGAACGGCATGTTATTTAATCATACATAAAAACCATGTGGTACAGATAAAATCCTGCTGTATTTTGGCCAGATATAGAAACCGTATTTCCTTATCAGCTATGTGAAATATTTGACTACTGGAAGCCGCACATTCTGCATGATGGTCTGCTGAGTGGGATTTCTCCAGAAATGCTTGAGGTGACTTTGGTACAAGTAAATGTGAGGTACATAAAGCACCCCAACTGATATGGTATCACCTGACAAAAATAACAATAGTTATTTTTTTTATAATGGAAATTTATGCCTGCTTAATGGAGGCTTGCATTTCACCTTTCTTCATGTGTCTGATGTTCTTCAGCAGTGTGATGTATGTGGCCAACATGGTGAACATCTACCATCACTAACCTCTGTTGTCGGCACCTTGCCTGAAAGGCTAACAGATGTTTCATCGAAGATGATGGGCATCATGTTCCCCATGAATTTTAGTGTCTCCCCAGAAGGCAAGTCCTCTAGCAGGAATGAAATACTGCATAATGGAAAGCAGGGGCTCTTTAGAGTGGTAACATAATGTGGGGCATTAACTCTGCCCTCTAATGGAATGTGTGGACCCAGGCGATGTCAGGGAAACGTTCCTCACACCATTAATGTACCACCAGGGACTTTTACCGTTAGATCCTTAAGTCTACGACTCATGTGCACACATCCTTTCCTGTAGAGCATGGAAGTAAGGTCACATTACTTTCACAGTTTTTTGCTGATGTATAATGTTGATGATCTGTTTTTTCTTGCTGTGATTTTTGCAGTGTACTTCAGAAACATTGTTCCACCTACCAGCAGTCCTTCATCTATATGCTATTTACATGTGCATATATACTGTATACACACTCAATCACAGACACTTTAAGTGGAATGTTGCAATGAGATTTGATAAATTCATTGTCACAAATTTGTTTTGCATGCATGCTTTTGGCACAGGCCCTGATTCAGTTCTGTATGGCCCGTATTTGTTTTCGTTCACTAACTTTTTACATAGACAGACCTTAGTCAGGCAGGTGCAAAAAAGCACACGTGATCCAGTTTCTGTCCCATCACCCCAGGGTAATGGCACTGAACCTCAAAAATGACAGCCCTAGGAAGATTTGGATATCTTATCCAGCTTGAATTAACAAATCAGCTTGTAACTATATGAAATGAGCAAGAATGACAGGACACACGAAAATGAAGTTGTGCAAGCGAGCCCGAGAAAAAAAACAAAACAGTACAAGAATGTTTTGCAGCAGACAGCTGCGTCTCATATGTGCCCACTGCTGGAAGGAGGGGAAGTGTCAAACATGAAGGGGAACGTTTGCTATTGTTCTGCTGGCTCGGTGTCTTATAGGCTGGTGCACATAGCACAGCTCACAGTGGAAAAGTGCCATGAATCTAGACAGGGAAAAATTTGACCCCAATAACCCTCCGTCGCATCATTTAAAGGTTACTTTAAGTTGTTTCACTGTATCCTTTCAAGAGTACCCCGCTGAGCTCTGCCCTAAGCCTTCAAAGAAGTGCAGCCGGCGGATTTTAAGGCCACACTGGAAATAAATATTAATTTGACCCCTGTCAAACCTGCTAGGACGCAAATCAAACAGCAGGAGTGCTGCTTCTTTGAAAAGAAGACAGGCGAGTGAGACCTGCTGGTGTCTGCGGGGGCAGCTGCGTGCCACCAATGGGAGGCCTGTTAGCATGGACGCTAACTATGACCCAGAATAATGTCAGGTGGCAGCCTGCAGACCAGGACTGTTAGCATGGACGCTAACTATGACACAGAATAATGTCAGGTGGCAGCCTGCAGACCAGGACTGTTAACTGGATTGGGGATTAATTTTTTATATACATGGGTTCAAAGGGAGCAGCATAATGGGATCATGCAAGTAAACTATGACAGTATAAATTTCAGAATAAATTTGCTTTAAATTTATTGTAAATATTTATATCATCACTTACCATATAACTCCCAGTGATAATAATTTGCATTTATTCAATAGCTGCAAATGTAACCTATCATCTATTTCCTGATTACCACCAAACTTACCCAGACCCCAAAGATGACAAATAAGCCTCTATTGGTAGAGGATGGCTGTTTCTTCACTGGAGAAAGGAACCACATGCTCATTTATAACGAAGCGCAAAGGTTCACAAGGGAGCAAGGTTAGGTCATATATTAGACATTTAGAGATCATCTACTACATATGACCAGACATGGCTGGTTCAGTCTACGGATGTTACTCTGGCAGAGGAGGGCCTCGGGGTGGTCTGTACAGCTGTAGAGTGCGTGAGCTTGTCCGTCATTTCAGTGTGCATGCAGCAGCAGAGGCGTAAATCTGTCAGATGTGAAAAAGCGAGAATGGTGCTGGTGTGCTGGGAGATCGCACTGGAAGCCGTTAGGGCAGGCGGTGTGGCTATTGTGACTGTGTGTGTGGTGGAGTGGACTGGAAGGTGTGTGTGGGGGGGGGGGCTGGCGTAAAAAGTTCTGCTTTACTTCTCCAGGTCAAAGGCACCTCAGTATGAGACCTTTGCAGCCTCTGTCACTGTTTACTGTGCAGGTTGTTTGGAGCAGAGAGACCTGAACAAAGGGGATCTGTTCACATTGTCCTTCTTAAAATCGACACCCCTCAGCTGACTGCTTCTATGGGTTGAGACCAGAGGCCCAGCTTACAAAATCTGATCCTGGACATTCTTAACTGAAACCATGTTTCCTTTAAACTCCTCAATCAGAGCCCACAATGTAAACATTTGCTTCCATTCCGTTATTCAATATGAGCAACCCAAAGGACATGTTTACATAAGCAGCCTACTGCTGAAAGCCATTTAAATGCTATAACATTATAAACAAAAGCACTAAATGAAAACGATAGCGATAGATGGAATATAAACCACATTTTATTGTTATCTTAAAAAAATACAGTGATTATTCTAAAAAGAAGACCAAGCCACACTGTAGGAGGTTGGGAGAGCTCCCATCCTGTCGTTGTTGCTCTGAAATTGTCCAGTCAGTCTGTTGGCTGTTTAACTAAAGTCTGACACAGATGCATTTACAATGGGTAACTGGCTCAGCAAAACAGGTCATTAAAATAAAATCTCAATGAATACACTAGAATAGTAACATTGAGTAGTAGGTAAGAATTAGTAGTGGTAAGATGGGTGTGGAAGAGGCTTAACAGCTGGAAAACATCTGCACCTATTCAACTCTTCTTTTTGTACTGCATTTATGCAATTACTGCCAACTTAGTTGTCTGACAGTAACCATATACTCTGGGTTGACATAACAGTTACATTTGCAAGACTTTGTACCCCAGTACATAAAACAAAATCTGAGAATCAGCTGCTCTCGTCATATTACTGGTCATTTAGGTTTTTCGCTTACTTAAACTTTTAAACTGAAACTGGTAAACTAAAATAGTTTGCAGAAAAGTTACTTAATTCCAAGTTGCGCAGGATAACCTTCTTAGACGCAATACATTTTAGTAAATATTCTTCTGTCAAGACGTAAATTGTTAGACACATATTTATTTCGCTTCTGTCATGTAAATGCGGTAAAGGAATACAAAAAGCATTACTATTTACACATCCTACGGCAAAAGTCGCTAATTTTTTATCTCGGGGGTGGGGGGGAGCGAGATAAAGAATCCTAACTTAATCGGCACATTTATGAATGATACATTAAAGACTTCCGCTATCGTCTATTTTAATGAATCCTCACGCTAGAAAGATATTATTTCCAAAAGCGGACAGTAATTCTTTGACGCCTGAACCCGAGCGAACCTCAGACGCCCCAGACCGCCTGTCTGTATGCCAATAACAATGGGCTGCAGGACAAGGCGCCTGTGACGGACAAGTAAAAGCCTTCACCGCTGTTACCTGCAAACAAAAGAAACTAGCGGGTTCACAAATCTTTTGAGCGTTTGCAATACTGAGATCGCCACTGCTTTTGCAAGAGAAGACCGGCGTCTCCACCCAGTCATTACCAAGACAGAGGCAAACACCTTGATGGCTCCCCCCTTACCTGCCTGACCCCGATCGCATATTCCCCCTTAGCGCTTTGTAATTCGGCAATAGCAGCTGCCTCCTGCCCCTCCCAGCAAACAGCGCCTCCTCAAAGTTTGCTTTCTGTACTTTAAACCAGCATTGCACTGGCTGTAGCGCTTCTTGCCGAGATCTGTAGAGGAAAACAGCAGAAAGAAAACGTCCCGGGGCGACCTTACGAGGAAAGGAATATATGCAGTGTTGGTTTTAAAGTGAACACGAAAAAAAGCAGGGGAAGCTGAATTTGATGCATCAGCCTGGGAACTTCGCCCTCACTATGAGGGATCTGAGCTGATGCAGGGACACGAATTATTTTAATTTAATGTACTATACTGCAGCTTTGTAAGCAAGTATATTTTATTTGGGGATCCAGGGCATTCGCTAAGTGGTACCAATTTTAATTGGAGAACCGGTGGCAGCATAATATTAGTAAATACAGCATGGTTTCGATATCAAATAAAAATATCCCTGCACTGTTTCTTGCGTGGAGCTGCTGTGTCCTGGCCGAAACAGTCTTCATGAACTTCACTTTAGACAATGAAGTGCACTCGAGTTTCATCCACCGACGCTTGAAGAGCCAGGAGCGCCGGGAGATGCAGCGTGAGATCCTCTCCATACTGGGGCTACCGCACCGACCCCGGCCTCACCTTCACGGCAAGCACAATGCAGCCCCGATGTTCATGCTGGACCTGTACAATGCCATGTCCACGGAAGGAGGCGAGGACGGCTACTCGTACCCTTACAAGCCCGTCTTCACAACCCAAGGGCCACCTGTTGCGACGCTGCAGGACAGCAACTTCCTTAACGATGCCGATATGGTCATGAGCTTCGTCAACTTAGGTATCGTTCCAAACAAGCGTCTTAAATTATTGTATTGTAATCCTGCATAATAACAGACACGCAAGGGTTACTGCTTTAATACAAATATGATAGAAAATGGATGGATGCATGTATAGACGATTGAGAATGACTAACGAAATATTTCTCAAATTTCTAGAAATTGAGCAAAGGCGACAATTGTTTGTAGATGTAAATCTTTTGCATGCCAAGCAATATAATATAATTCAAGTGAAAATTAGAAAAAATAATCACTGCGCAGTTGTCAGTTTTTATATGCACTGTTTCATTACTTTCCATGACAAGTGCTTCAAAAGCAGAACATACAGGTCGACGAATTGCCTACGGGCATATGTCCTATATGGCGTTACTAGGAGACGTATTATTATCCGAATGGTGATTGCAATGGCGACATTGAATATTTTCTTCGGTTATGGCACATTTCGAATGTGTTTGACCTACTTGTTGCACAGTGAAAATATAAGAGTTTATCATTCTTATTGCAGGCTAATTTATTTACAGGTACTATGACGTCATCTTGGGAAAAATATCCACGCAGTCTAGTATAAAACCTTTCACTCAGACTTTTAACGCCGTAATATTTATACTATGACATAATGTAGTCGTTACCACAGCTCCCCTGCATATCAGCACGGCGCTAATTTTCAGGTATTTGACCCGATGAGTACCGAAGCCAACAATCTGTGTCGGGTGACTTAAGCGATGGTCGGGGGACGACATGAGTGCAATTTGTTAATACTGGTATTAACCTATTACGTGGCACGCGTGTTTGCAGTGTACCATATCAGCTCAGTTGGAGACAACGTCAATACCACACAGACAGCTGTACTGCCCTTAATGTTTCAATCATTTACAATGAATATCTAAAAATCACTCATAACACTGTGCGTAATCATTGGCCCTGGTATTATTATTTGCAGCGTTAATTATTACCAGATGCGTCAGATTGCCTTTGTACGGCATAGTGAACGGTTTTGATATTCTGCATGTCATTTTCTGTGATGTATGACGTTATTTCTTGGAACGGGGTCACTTATTGGAACTTATGACTGAATGTTTTTCAAGTGAAAGTTTTAATCAAAATTCACATTTATTAATGAACGCTGGTCCAGTGGTTGTGGTTGTTATTTAATTGGTTTATTCACATTTGGGTATTAGATGTTCTTTCTCTACGAAATAGACATAACCAGGTGTAGCATCCATATTTTAAATATTATTCTTATGTGGCCTCATAAATATACAGTATTTTCTTATGTGACAAAACCTGTCAAAATGCCAAGGGAACATGAGACACATTGATGAATATAAAATAAATATTGTCTTGCTATACCCCATGTAGTCTGGAAAGAATAATTCTTGGTGTATTTGGCAGCAGAATGGGAGGTGACACTATTTCTTTTTCTGAAATTTGTAATTACAGTGAGAGTTCCTAGGTGGTGACTTTTTTAGCCTATGACTGACAGTTGCATTTGACCACAAAGCTTGAGCAGGCTCCCAATTCCCCAGTAAAAAGTGCTTAACGAGGATTCTGGGACTTCCGGCTCCACTGGGACATTTCTTTGTCCGTGTTTGGTCCATAATTTATAATGTGAGCTTAATGAACAGCTCCAGTAAAAATCTCAATAAAAGTAATAGATGTTTCTAAACATTTGTAAGAACTTGATGAACAGTGATTGAGCTTATTTAACTGAAAGCTCCTTATAGTAACTTGCTTTGCAAGTGCTAGATAAACTGTGACCCCAGTACATTTTTTTACATTCTACTGTAATTTTAAAATTTAATCATGTTTACTAACATTGAAAAAACTATGATTATATTTTTTGGAAAATGACCATGATGTGACCTAATTTTCAGATATAATTCTATTAGTTTTATTCATTTTCTGTTGAAAAAGTATCTGGCCATATAAAACATTTTTATTACATTTATCAACAACAGAAACCAAATGGTAGTACGCATTAATATATATTCCGCAAGAAACATTAAAACCTTGATTTCTATATCTTATTTGTAAGTATAATTTTATCAATTGATAAGAATAAAATTGAGCATATTGTGGCACACTTGCTGCTAAGTTATTCATTTTATAACATGATGTAATAACCAATTAGAGGTAACTTTTGACTTCTAAAATGTGCGTATGCCCTGTTGGGTCTGCAGTTCTCTGCATTTTATCCATAATTACTGTATCCTCCTATGTGGCAGTGAAGTGGGAAGACTTGGATTATTATAGTGTTGTTGCCCTAAATCCTGCCCTTGATTGCTCGCCACAGTCGTCAGTGCATCGTGGTGAAACATCTGACATGTGGCCTGTGGGAATGGGTGTTCCTCCTACTTCAGCTGATTCCTATAAGTGAACCTCCGCTCGGCACTGTAATCTGACACAGGTGGTCAGCTTGTTGCTGCACGGCCTTGTGTTTGCGGCGTTTCTGTTCCTCGCTGGTCTGCAGTGAGCACAGACACTAAGGGGATGCTACGGCAGCTGAGAGCACCTTCTCGCTTCTACACAGCTGTTTAGTCTGCTAACTCGGGTTGAAATCTCGTAATGGGCTGTGGGATACATGCAAGTTGTGCATCAGCGCTGAGTCACTGACATTTGTAAAGTGAAGTATCTGAATTGTGTCAGTAAACATAATCAGTTGCATGTTATTATTAGTATATGTATTCTTGAATGAAAATGTAAGCACAGTGATTGAGAGGTTGTACTAATCCCATCCTGTACCAAGTGGGAAGGTTTGTGGTTCTGTGGTTTAGACCCAGTTGCTCCAAGGAACTGGCTGACCCTGATTTCCCAGTTGTATGTCACTCTGTGTAAAAGCATTCGCTAAACAAATAAATGTGAGCAGGACAGTTGGCATCAGCTGTGAAAGCCCCCCCCTCCACCATTCCTATGTATATTCTTTTTACAACCTATCACCCCCCCCCCTTTTCAAGGGACCATGTTCAGACACATCCAGGAAGCTTGGACAGCACCAGCCTTATCACAGTTCGGGGAAGTGCTACGCTTTTGATTCACTCTTTCGCATTTGGCGGCCCTCTTTTCCTTCCGGCAGCAGGGCAAAGGTACAACTGTGTGCGGGTTTGGTTGGAAGGCAAATGCGGGAGAGAGACATGGGTGTAACAATGGCGAGAGATTGAATTAGAAGGGGGAGTGTAGGGTGGTGTCACCCTTGGCGGGATCTGCCACCGCCTTCGTGAGGCACCCGGGCTCCCCAGTCTCCTCTGAGTGGCAGCCCAGCTCCCTCCGCGCTTCCTCACTAGTCTTGGCTAACTATTTGATTTGATCCCAATGGTCTCTGGCGCATCAGCCCACAGACACACTGAATTAAGGCATTTCCCCTCAACAAACCACAGCTTCCAGAGAGCGCTGCCTGTTGGTTTGGAGCAGATCCGACGCACGCACTGAAGTCATTCCCAGCCCAGAGGCTTTGCCTGGCAGTTTCAGGGTAGCAGCCGGGTGACTTACCAGTCTGTTATTTGTTATTTCCCCTACAATGGAAGTTGATGTATTGCTCAGGTTTTATTGCTCTGTTTTCATCCCACTAACAGTCTTATCAAATAGGGTTATTCACAGCTTCCCCTTTTGGTGTGGACCGGCCTTCCCCTGGAAAGGCTGTGGAGCACTGCGAATGGTCCCGTAGTGCCAGTCCTCCAGCATCTGCATGCGATCTGCTGTTACCATCCATGATAGCCTGTAATATTCCTGATTCAAGTCAGCTGGCCCAGACTCTGTCTCAGGAGGGATGCCATCTTAAGAAGGACTTAACTGTGGCAGGAACTTGAATGACATAGCGAATAAAAGGTGCGTTGTTACTTTTAATTCGCAGCAGATGTGGAAGGAAAACCCAGTGAAACAATCAATCTCTGGTCACTTCTGTGAGCACCTTCTTATTGTGTGTGTGTGTGTGTGTGTGTGTGTGTGTGCGTGCGTGTATGTTCTCCCTTTGGAAATGTTGACAGCAAATGGTTGGGTTTACCTAGCGTACCTGAGAGGCTGCTAGTAAACAGAGGCAGTGAGTCATACATAAACAATAGGTAATTGCTGTGGCCGTTTTTATTGTGAGGCTGCGAGACGCTGTGCAACCTGCCTTTGGACACATGCCACTGCGCCCACAGCCACTTCCCCCGCTTTATAATGTGTGTTAACAGGCAAGTAATTGGGCTCTCAAAAAGGATCTTTTTGGAAAATTTGTTTGGATTTCCTGGCGCTGTCACAAACACACCCCGTAGCTCAGTGTCTTTACGGGGCATTAGTCATGCTTTAGATTTTGCCGTTGAGCAACTGTGCTGGACACAAAAGGACGTCTGATAGAAAATGGGCAAAGGTAGAGGCTGTTGGGCGTGGTTGTGATGGCAACAGTTGTGGGGAAGTGAAGGGGGGGGGGTTGATGAAACTCTGCAGGTGCCCCAGACAGATGCAGTTTCCCCAGTCCTGGAGTGGGCAGCCCGCCTGTGCAGCTGCAGTTTGCTGCAGACGCTCTCCCTCAAAGAAGGAAGAAGAAGTCTCACATTCCAGCCCTCTGAAGCTTGCTCGTTGGACCCTGCGCGTTTTTAATACAGACGCCCCTGGTCTTCTGGGGGCCAAAGCAGCTGCAGGGATATTTTATCACTTTGGATCCATCAGTTCCCACCCTGTGTGCGGCAAAGTAAAATCTGTTTTTCTTCTGAGATTGTTGAACGACCTCAGCATGCATTAGAGCCGCCATCTGTGGCCAGTGGTCTTAGCGAGGATAACTCAGGGGGTTACGTGAACACCACGATATGTGAAAATTCCGCACGAGGACTTTGCTGGTCTGTCATCAAAGAAAAGGATTTTTTTCCTCTTTCAAATGAGCTATTTCTCAATATTTATTTGAGTACAAAACTGAATCTTCTACACCAGTGTTTCCCAATCCGGTCCTCGGGGATTTGCAGACAGTCCACGTTTTTGCTCCCTTGAAAAATGTGGACTATCTGACAGGGAGCTGGGAGGGAGCGAAAAT